TATATGACTGCTACATCGCTTCATATTTTCAATGATTTTTTCCATTCTAATCGCAGGCATAAGAACTTTGCTAAGATTCCCAAAATCCTTTGCCATGACCTGATCAGAGCTTGTTTGACAAAGTCGAGCCCTTCTTCCCTTCTTCACAAGAAAACAAGTGGAAGAAAAGCCTTATTTCTCTTCCAAACCTTAAGCAAAGATACAATGATTGGCAACGCAAAAGCTTACATGAACACTGGCAATAATACAACACATACTGGTTAAGATGAATTTATTGGAAGACTAATTCTTGCATAGGATCAAGGTAGAAGCTTGTTCACAACAGAGCGGGTTTTACACATGGCCTCCAAAGGTACAAATTTTGGCATGGTGAGTCCTCTACCTTCAGTCATGTCAATCTCCTCCTCACCAACTCTCTTCCACTCAAAGCATTGGATCAATGTCCCCAAGGTCAAGCCCACCACACGTTGCGCCAAGCCTGCTCCAGGGCAAGCTCTCCTCCCCATTCCAAATGGCATGAGCTTGTGTGACAGATCCTCACCACTTTTGAACCTCTCAGGCTTGAACATTTCAGGATCATCCCACAGCTGTAGATCTCTATGTATGGCCCATGCATTCACCAATACCATTGTGCCACGTGGAACGTCGAATCCCCCAATAGTGCAGTCATCGGCTGCAAAATGTGGTAATAGCATCGGGGTGGCTGGGGACAACCGCAACGTCTCTGATATAATGCTTTGGAGGTAGGGTAGTTTAGAGATATTTAGTTCGTCAATTAAGTATTCTTGGTCAAGTTGAGCATCCAATTCAGCTCTAGCCTTTCTTAGCACATGTGGATTGTTAAGCAGATGAGACAGGGCCCATTCCAGTGTTACTGATGATGTATCAGTGCCAGCCAATAATATCACCTAAAAATTACTCTTTTATTATCAGTAAGTTCAGAAGAAAAGAGCATGAAATAAAGCCCTAAATACACATCTTTTCTTATGGCATAAGTGATACACAAGAGAAAGTTAGCCAATGAAATGCAGAACATTTTTTTTTTTTTTTTTTTTTTTTTTTTTTTATTAATAAATTTTTCTTATCACTGTTGTTGTCTCTTTAATTTTATAATAAATAAATAAGTGCCTAGGTGCAAGAAAACAATCCCAATGAAGTCCAAGATGATCCAGTCTAAAAAGCTACATAAGTCAATAAAAGTCACCATCAGACTCTGTATGTACTCAGACTCTATATTGACCGAAATCACCAGCTTTAGTTGATTTAAAAAAACAACATAAGTGTCAACTTTAAATAAATAAATAAACACTTTATTAATTATAATGTAATGCATGAGATAGAATTCTCAACTAACCAGTATAAAGCCCTTGATGAGTTGGTCAGTATAATAGTCGGGCTGTGAGTCCTGCAGAGAAAGCAAATGGTCGATCATAGTTCCATTTTTACCCTTACTCCTTTGCTCATCAATCAGACCTTGCATAAACGAATCAGTCTTCTTAGCCAACTTCATCACCCTCTTCTCATAAGCATTGCTCCCAATCCAATTCAAAATGGGCAAGAAATCTGCTGGGTTCACTGCCCCACTATGAGCAAAAACCTCCTTCATAATCTGCCTGAACTGCTTGGCCTCTTCCTTGTCCACCGACACGTCATCCCCATAGTACCTCTTCCCCGCCACCATTGTCATTATGATGTTAAAGGTTAGCTCAGTGAACATAGACTTCAACTCCACCTTCGCAAACTCATGCACCGAGTTTTGTGCAAGTTTGCATATGAGGTGTTTGACTTCGTCTTTTCGTGTGTTTGCGAATGTGTTGAGTCGAGCGGAGGAGAAAATCTCGATGGCGCCAATGCGCCGGAGGTTGCGCCAGTGGTCGCCGTATGGAGAGGTTGAGATGGTCGTGCTGTTGTAGCCTATGTGCTTGAATAGGAGCAGTGAAGGACGGTTTGCCAAAACTATGTCGTTTCTTGTGAAACACTCTTGGACAGCGGACGGGGATGAGACTATGACCACGCGCTGCGAACCGAACCAGAGAGAGAAAATAGGGCCGTGTTTTTGGGAGAGGCGGTGGAAGGTTCGGTGGACCGGGGCTTTGAGGAGATGGAGATGGCCTAGGATGGGGAGAGAAAACGGGTTTGGTGGGAGGTTTGTGTAATATCGTCGTTTTGTTTTAAGAAAGAACTGGAAAGTGAAGATTATGAGGAAGGTAAGAGAGAGGGACGTCGTGTAGAAGAAGATGCCTTGTTCCATGGTTTGTTTTGGCCTAAGTTTGATTTTGAGTGGTGGATGTGGTATTTATTTATAAAGAAGAGAGTGTGAAGGATATGCATGTCTACATCTTGTGTATGAGCGAGAGACTCGAGAACCCATCCTACTGCTCTTCAATTCAAGCCAAATGCAATTGATTGCGATTGTCGTGTTTTCTTCATGGTAGGTATGCATAGTGTAGCACTCTTAATTCTACTCTTTATCATGTTCACCGAGTCTAGTTCTGTGAAAAAGAACGTTGATTTATAAATTAAGATTTCATATTTAAATTTTTATGACACATTGATAATATGTGTTAAAAACTTTATGCTCCTCTAATTTAAACTAACACTTGTTGCAATATATTTTATAATTAATGGAAATGGGAGTGGACCCCACTTTGGCAGTTCCAATCTCTTGGACTACAAGGGTCCAAGAGATTTGTGGTTACCCACCGTTGGATGTAAATTCAACAATTCACTCACTCTTACACTCATTTTAAAAAACTTTTTTGAATCGTTAGATGTTAATACAACGGTGAATGACCACAAATCTCTTAGACCCCTGTAGTCTAAGAGATCAAGACTACCCCACTTCGGTTTGCCTTATTGCCATCCATCGTAACTAGTGCTGACGGCGTTCATCACAGGGAGATATATGCATACGTCGGCCAATATGTAAGCACACTCGGCTTCGCACAATTGAATATTGAATTCCATGGATCTAAGCATACGTCAGCCCATATGTAAGCATACGCAGCCATGCCCATGTAATTCTTCATCATTAAATTTTTTTAAGGATTAGATATTGACAAAAACTTTTGAAAAAGGACTCACATGTAGGATAGTAATACATAATCAATTGTAATACTTAATCAAGTTGTATTAAACAATATTTTCTTATTTGATTTTGCTAAATATACTACTATATTGAAAATCATTCACTGTTTATGCTAGTTTTACATTATAGTACCGAATGCATTTTCAATCTTCATGTTTTCTGAAATTGCTTTTCAATTAAACTACCATATACATTTTTAGATCTTGAAAATAAAAAATTATTTTCTCGTTTTCATTTTTTTAATAATAACATTGTAAACATAAAAAAAGAAAAAAAACAAAAAAGGAAATGAAATGAAAGGGTTCAACACCCCGAACAAAAAAATAAAAAATTACATGCAAATTTTGGTTTACAATCCTTATATTTTACTGAAACTTTTTGAGTTAGAAAATTATTTTGATTGGAGGACATGCATGTTATCATTTATATACAAATTAGATTATCATGAAGGTGGGAGAGTAGCGGGTTTAGATTACTGTTATCATTTAGCCGAAATATTCTTTATAGTTTAGATTTACCACCGGGTTTAAGCCAAAAAAATTTAGATCCCGAATCTGAAATTTTTTTCTTGGATATCACTAGTTCATATGTAATGTAGTAGATGGATATCACTAGTTCATCTGTAATGTAGTAAAAATTACAGGCAAATTTTGGTTTACAATCCCTATATTTGTACTGAAACTTTTTTAGTTAGAAAATTATTTTGATTGGAGGACATGCATATTATCATTTATATACAAATTAGATTATCGTGAAGGTGGGAGAGTAGCTGGTTTAGATTATCGTTATCATTTAGCCAAAATATTCTTTATAGTTTAGATTTACCACCGGGTTTAAGCCAAAAAAATTTAGATCCTGAATCTGAAAAAAATTCTTGGATATCACTAGTTCATCTGTAATGTAGTAGATGGATAGCATATTTATGTATTTTAGGATAAAGTATTGTTAATTAACATGGATTCTTATTTTAATGAATTTTTCTGTCTCCTCCAGCATAATTTTAATGTAGGGTAGTTTAGAGATATTTAGTTCATCCACTAAGTCTAAGGTCCCGTTTGGTTTACGGAACGAATTTGAGGGGAAATCACTTCTCATGTCATCTCCTAAGGAATGAGAAATAGAAGATTCATTTCCCACGTTTAGTAATGCAAAGAAAGTAATTGGGAAATTTCACTTTCTTTCATTTCCCATGTTTGTTTTGAGTATGAATGGAAAACAAAGTTTGTATAATTTTCCAATTATACCCATATTAAATCAAATAAAAAAAGAGTGCATTTAATGATATATATTGTAATTCCAAATTGTTAATAGGGACAAAATAATCATGAAAAATGTGCATTGAATGTTGACTCATTTTCCCAAACTTTCCCATGATGAGGGAAAACAAAACCCAAGTTGGGAGGAGGGCTGCACTTTCCCACCTATTTTTTCATGTATCAGGCAACCATTTCTCATGCATGGACTTACCAAACATGGGAAAACAATTGATTTTCCATCCCCAAGCCTCCTTTCCCATAAACAAAACGGGGCCTAAGTGTTTGTTGGAGTGTTTGTTGGACTAGTAGATGAGCATCCAATTCAGCTCTAGCCTTTCTTAGCACTTATGGATTATTGAGTGGATGCACATGGCCCATTCCAATGTCACTAATGATGTATCGATACTAGCCAATAAAATGACCTGATAATTGCTTTTGTATTAAAAAAAACAAAAAAAAAAAAAACTCTAATATCAAATTTAATGTAAATGCAGTAGATATATATCTTAAACTAACCAGTATAAGGCCTTTGATGAGTTGGTCAGTATAATAATCAGGCTGTGTCTTTTTGCAGGGGAAAGCAAATGATCGATCATGTTAGTTCCATTTTTACCCTTTGTCATTTGCTCATCAATCAACCGTGTAAAGCCTTTTTCTTAATCTGCTGGGTTCACTGCTATGCTATGAGCAAAAATCTCCTTCATAATCTGCCAGAACTGCCCGGCCTCTTCCTTGTCTACCGACACGTCGTCGCCGTTACCATAGTATCTCTTCCCCGTAACCATTGTCATTATGATGTTAAAGGTCAACTCAGAGAACATAAACTTCAACTCCACCTTTGCAAAACCAGGAATCGAGTTTTGTGAAAGTTTGCATATTAAGTGTTTGACTTGGTCTTTTCGCACATTCGCGAATGCGTTGAGTCGAGCAAAGGGGAAGATCTCAATGGTGCCGATGCATTGAAGGTTACACCGGTGATCGCCGTGTGGGCAGGTTGTGACAGTGGTGTTGTTGTAGCCTAAGTGCTTGCCTAGGAGCAGAGGACGATTTGCCGAAACAATGTCATTTTTGGTGAAACACTCTTGGACAGCACAGCGGACGAGGATGAAAACTATGACCACGCTCTGGGAGCGGAACCAGAGAGAGAAAATCGGCCATGTTTTTGGGAGAGGTGGTGGAAGGTTTGGTGGACTGGGTTTTAGGAGATGGAGATGGCCGAGGACTGGAAGAGAGAGCGGGCTTGGCGGGAGGTTGGTGTAACGTAGTTGTTTTGTTTGAAGAAAAAACTTTGAAGTAAAGATGACGATGAAGATAAGAAAGAGGGACGTTGTGTAGAAGAATATGCCTCTTGTTCCATGGTTTGTTTTGGTTATTGGTTGCTATTTGTTGATATTTCAGTTTGATTTTGGGTGGTGGATTTTTGGTATTTATAAAGGAGAGGGACGTGAGGAAGAGTTGCCTAGCTATACTTGTTTTAAGTACTGGATCAAATTTGTATGGCTACGAGGGAGATGTGAATAATGGTATCGGAAGGATGTTTTTGTATTCACTCGATGAATAATACAATGCGCAGTACACCACTTATATACAGAGTTGATGATGCTAACTAGAGTAAGTAGATATGTGGTTGAATACAAAATCAATTAGAGTTAATATACAAAGTCAAGATAAAGATAAATTAGGAAGGGAAACCTTTGATTGATTATGAGCAGTTGACGATGGAGCTACTGGAAGAGTCTTATTTGGCAGCAGTAAGATTGCTGGAGATGAGGCATTGATTTGCATTGACTACGGTGGTTTCCTTATACACCCCGGCAAGATGGTGGCCCCATCAACATCACCAACCTTGGACTGGAGAAGTTGTAAACGGTGGCGAGATAGAGGCTTTGTGAGGGCATCAGTGAGTTGATCAATAGTGGAAACATGAGATACCTGAAGCAGCCAACGAGTTACCAAATCACGAACAAATTGAAAATTAATGTCAATGTGTTTCATGCGAGAGTGGAGAACAGGATTGGCATAGTAGAAGGTGGCACCAATATTATCACAAGAAATGGCAGGCATGGAGGAGGGCATAACAATAAGTTCGCAAAGCAAGGATTTGATCCAAGCAAGTTCAACGGCGATGCAAGCAATGGCACGGTACTCAAATTTGGTGGATGAGCGAGCAATGGCTCGTTGTTTGCAGGAGCTCCAGGAAATGAGATTATCACCAAGATAGACAACATAGGCTGTTGTGGATGTTCGATCATCATAGTTGTCGACCCAATCCGCGTCAGAAAAATCAGACAAGGTAGTAGTACGAGAGCATTTGAGAAGAAGACCATGGTAAATTGTGCCTTTGAGGTAGCGAAGAAGACGCTTCAAAGCTAGCTAATGAATGTCAGATGGCTGATACATGAATTGAGATAGCTTGTTGACAGCAAATGAGATGTCGGTGCGAGTGAGACTGAGATATTGAAGACCACAAGGACGGAACATGGCTTTGGCTAACCTAGGCTATAGCCCAGGTGGCTTTTAAAACCCCAAAAAAAAAAAAAAAAAAAAAAAAAAAAAAAAAAAAAAAAATAGCCATCGCCCCCATTCAATCAATCCTACCCTCCCAAGGAATCTGCTTGCTGGCTTGCACTTGCATTGCAAGTGGAGAATAAAAGGGAGAATAGGAAAAGCTACAGCCTACAGCCCAAGGAATCCTTTACTTGAGCGCTCAGTGGAAACAATATTAGCACAAAAATACTACTTGATTGACAGATTGATTCGTTTGGTGCTAACTCTTCATGTTTCTACAGCAACAACAAAACGAACATTTTCTCATATGAGACTTATAAAAAATCGGCTTCGAAACAAGATAGGTGATGAATTTCTTGTTAATTGTATATTACTTCACATTGAAAGAGAATTTGCTAATAATATAGATAATTAATTGATAATTAATGATTTTAATTCTATGAAGACTCGAAGGGTGCAACTTATATAGTGTTATTTGAGAGGTAAGGCTCATTATGTCCCCCCCTAGAGTAGGTGTATTATTAATTTTTGTTATCAATGAAATTGCAAAGTACTATCGAGTTTTCTATCTACTTGGTATGTTTATATGTAAGGTAAATTTAGCCTCAGTCAAGTTTGAAATCATGGGTTCTTCCTTGGAAGACCACCAACTAGTTGGCGATACTTAGTGGCGTTAGTGGGAGAACCATCATGAAGCACGAGAGAATTGGATGTGGTCATGTGTGTTCTGACTTCCTTTGCATCATCCATGTGGGCCTTGCTCAAAAGATCACAGATATAATTGTGTTGAGACAAAAAGAGACTAGTGGTAGTAGGCGCACAACTTCAACACCGAGAAAATAATTAAGGGATCCTGGATCCTTGACAGAGAACCACCTAGCAAGAGCATGAACAAACTGAGAAACAAGTGAGGCGTTATTTCCTGTGACAACAAGGTCATCAACATACACAAGAAAGTAAATAACGCCGCCTTCACGTCGGTAAATGAAAAGGGAAGCATAAGAGAGAGCATTGAGGATTTCCAAAATCGCTTCATATTTCAATGATTTTTTCCATTCTCATCGCAGGCACCAGAACTTTGCTAAGATTCCCAAAATCCTTTGCCATGACCTGATCAGAGCTTGTTTGACAAAGTCTTCTTCCCTTCTTCACAAGAAAACGCAGTGAAGAAAAGCCTTATTTCTCTTCCAAACCTTACGTACAAAGATACAAATGATTGGCAACGCAAAAGCTCATGACCACTCATTTAAAAAGAAAAGGTAACATAAACACTTGCAATAATACAACACATACTAGTTAAGATGAATTTATTGGAAGACTAGCTAATTCATGCATAGGGTCAAGGTAGAAGCTTGTTCACAATAGAGCGGGTTTTACACAGAGCCTCCAAAGGTACAGCTTTTGGCATGGTGATTCCTTTACCTTCAGTCATGTCAATCTCCTCCTCGTCAACTCTCTTCCACTCAAAGCATTGGATCAATGTCCCCAAGGTCAAGCCCACCACACGTTGCGCCAAGCCTGCTCCAGGGCAAGCTCTCCTCCCCATTCCAAATGGCATGAGCTTGTGTGACAGATCCTCACCACTTTTGAACCTCTCAGGCTTGAACATTTCAGGATCATCCCACAACTGTGGATCTCTATGTATGGCCCATGCATTCACCAATACCATTGTGCCACATGGAACGTCGAATCCGCCAATAGTGCAGTGATCAGATGCAAAATGTGGTACTAGCATCGGGGCGGCTGGGCACAACCGCAGCGTCTCTGATATAATGCTTTGAAGGTAGGGTAGTTTAGAGATATTTTGTTCATCAACTAAGTGTTCTTGGTCAAGTTGAGCATCCAATTCAGCTCTAGCCTTTCTTAGCACATGTGGATTGTTAAGTAGATGAGACAGGGCCCATTCCAGTGTGACTGATGATGTATCAGTGCCAGCCAATAACAGCACCTAAAAATTACTTATTTATTATTAGTAAGTTCAGAAGAAAAGAGCATGAAATACGTACTTTTATCTTCCAGCTTTTTTCTTTTAACATGTTAATCGGCTGTGTCAACCCTTTTTTTGTTGTTGCTTCCTTATCTAATTTGAATGTTTATTTTGTAATTCTTGTGAAAATTACATATAAAGTTACCCAATTAAATGCAGAACAACTTTTTCTTATCACTGTTGTTGTTCTTAAATATATAATTAACTGAGTGCCTAGGTGCAAGAAAACTAGCCCAATGAAGTCCAAGATGATCCAGTCTAAAAAGCTATATATATAAGTCAATAAAAGTCACCATCCTGCAACTTGGTCCAGTTTTGACTCTCAGACTCTGTACATACTTAAACGGATATACATGAACATTATAAATACATATAGTGGATAGCATATGCTCACGTGGCATATCTTAATTGGATGCTGTTATTTCTACTACATTTACATTGGATGCTGCTATTTGTACCGTATACTTATAAATAATCAGCAGATATAATCACATCTCTATTATAAATGAATTCCACGTATACTTGCGGGTCACATCTCTATAATATTAGAGATATAATCAGCAGAATGGTCAATACATATGATACAAATAATGTTATTGATATTAATTTAGTATCGATTAATCAATTCAATGAATCCAACCACCAACTCCCTATCTACTCTATATTAATTATAAATAAATAAAAACTTTATTAATTATAATGTAATGCATGAGATAGAATTCTCAACTAACCAGTATGAAGCCCTTGATGAGTTGGTCAGTATAATAGTCAGGCTGTGAGTCCTGCAGAGAAAGCAAATGGTCAATCATAGTTCCATTTTTACCCTTACTCCTTTGCTCATCAATCAGACCTTGCAAAAACGAATCAGTCCTCTTAGCCAACTTCATCACCCTCTTCTCATAAGCATTGCTACCAATCCAATTCAAAATGGGCAAGAAATCTGCTGGGTTCGCTGCCCCACTATGAGCAAAAATCTCCTTCATAATCTGCCTGAACTGCTTGGCCTCTTCCTTGTCCACCGACACGTCATCCCCATAGTACCTCTTCCCCGCCACCATTGTCATTATGATGTTAAAGGTTAGCTCAGTGAACATAGACTTCAACTCCACCTTCGCAAACTCATGCACCGAGTTTTGTGCAAGTTTGCATATGAGGTGTTTGACTTCGTCTTTTCGTGTGTTTGCGAATGTGTTGAGTCGAGCGGAGGAGAAAATCTCGATGGCGCCAATGCGCCGGAGGTTGCGCCAGTGGTCGCCGTATGGAGAGGTTGAGATGGTCGTGCTGTTGTAGCCTATGTGCTTGAATAGGAGCAGTGAAGGACGGTTTGCCAAAACTATGTCGTTTCTTGTGAAACACTCTTGGACAGCGGACGGGGATGAGACTATGACCACGCGCTGCGAACCGAACCAGAGAGAGAAAATAGGGCCGTGTTTTTGGGAGAGGCGGTGGAAGGTTCGGTGGACCGGGGCTTTGAGGAGATGGAGATGGCCTAGGATGGGGAGAGAAAAAGGGTTTGGTGGGAGGTTTGTGTAACGTCGTCGTTTTGTTTTAAGAAAGAACTGGAAAATGAAGATTATGGTGAAGATAAGAGAGAGGAGCGTTGTGAAGAAGAAGATGCCTTGTTCCATGGTTTGTTTTGGCTTTTGTTGGTTTATAAGTTTGATTTTGAATGGTGGATGTGGTATATATTTATAAAGAAGAGGGCGTGAAGGAAATATTTATATATAGATTTTTGTGTGGGGAAAGATACATGTAGATATTTTCAGCATGCATCAACCCTATGATGAATATCTTCAAATTAACATCCTTCCTTAATATGGAGAGTCATCGCTGCAAGGAATTTATGTGGCTTTGTTATTACTAGCCCCTTGGTGTGCCAATTGGTTTTTTATTTTATTTTTTTATTTATAATAGAATTAAGAAAAGATAACATGAGTAGTTATGTTCAATAAAAGTATGACATATTATCTGATTTTGTTTTTAATTTTAATTTTTTAATATGAAAAATATAAATTTACCATATTATCCTCATTTAATTAATAATTTCAACTCTTAATATTTGTATTAACCAAGAACATTTTCTGATATTTTGAATGTTTCACCATTCTTTGTCTTTTACTTTATATATATATATATATTTATTTATTTATTTATTTATTTATTTTAGCAAGTACCTGTAAGGTGCATGAAAAAGCTATTCTCATCTGACCATCAAATCCTTAATTAAAAAATACCAACAAAAAAAACTCAATCAGATATAGATGCAAACACATTAAAGAAACCCATCAAAAATTACACAAAATCATACTCATCCAGAAAATTAAAAAAAGTAAAACTCATTCGTCCATGCCTTTTGAATTCCAATCTTTATTTTCTTCAGATAGATTGCTTTGTGCGATTTGGCTTGTAAGAAGAATGAGTTTGATCAAGAAGGGAGAGGGGTGAAGAATATGATGTACAAATATATAGGGCTGGGCACGGGATGGAGGTCATCCCTGTGTTAACCCCGAATAATGGAATCAGGATGGCATGACACAGGATGAGAGTTTTTGAAAACACGTTCAAATCATACAGGACCCAAATGGGACCGGTATGATTCGGTATCAATGTTGATACCATAAAATAAAAATAAAACCCTGTTATTATTTATTTATTTAGCTATTTACTTTTGGTAAATGAAAATGAAAGTAATTGAAGAAAATAGAAAGAAAAAGAAAAAGCAAAGTTTGGGTCATCAGTTTCTTTCAAATATACCGTTAGCAAATATGTAAGCCTCGGAGAGAGAGAGAGAGAGAGAGAGAGAGAGAGAGAGAGAGAGAGAGAGAGAGAGAGAGAGAAGGAGGAGAAGGAGAAGATGAGATTGATTGATGGTGGAGGATTTGGGAATTATGGCTTCAAATCATGATTGAGAAAGGAGAAAAGAATAGAAGAATAGATAGAAGGAAGGAAGGAAAGGATGGAGGATAAACAAGCTTAGTCAAAATGTATGTGGGAGAGAGAGGAGGAACTAAAATTAAATTAGGATTATTATTTACCTGTACTATTCAGTACGGTATGGCACCAAACGAGATCACAAATCTGAAACCGTTGTCATGCCAAACAGTAACGGGATGACACATATAGTATCATCCAGTTTACACGTCAACACCAAACGAGACAGCACGAGATTGGTACGGTTTGGGGATGGTTTTGGTATTCCGGTTTTGATGCCCACCCTTATAAATATAGGTGTACTAAACCAAACACCAAGAGGAAGGAGTAGAGCACCAGTAAAGCAGTGGAGGAAGGGTTGAAGAGGTCCGACAAAGCGCCGATGATTAGAAACAAATCCTAATTGGAAGAAGAGCATGTTTAACTAGTAAAAAAAACTTAATTTGAATACTAATTGGAAATAAATAAATAAACGATTCAGCAATCGAGTATGAGAAGAGAGCATTCATCAAAAAAAAACAAGATAAGCTAAACAAAAAAAGAATGTTATAACGAAGGTGTACTAACTTAAAACTGTAGAGGAAGGAGTAGAGTGGCGGAACAGTGTCAGAAGTCTGGAGGAGCGGTGACAGAAGTCTAGCAAAGCGCCAACGATGGGGGAGGAGAGGAAGGAGGGAGAGAGGGAATTGGGGGAGGTAGAGAGATGTATGTGAAAAGTAGTCTCTAATTCAACAGGGTTTAGTTTAAAAAAAAATATATATATTTAACTAATGAAAAATATATAAATATTATCTCCTTAGAAAAGAGCTAATATAATTTTAATGAGGTGGTTATCCACATTAGCTGCCATGTAAGATGGTATTAAAATGTGATAGATTTATGTAAGTAAGTATAGTATTGCCCTTTATTGTATATTCTACTCATACATATACATCTTGTGTATGAGCGTGAGACTCAAGCCCATCCTACTGCTCTTCAATTCAAACCAAATGCAATTGATTGCGATTGTCGTGTTGTCTTCATGGTAGGGTATGCACGTATGACAATATGCAGTGTAGCACTCTTAATTTTACTCTTTACCATACTAACGAGATCTAATTCAGTAAAAAAAAATATATTAACTTACAGATCAAGAATCTCATATTCGAATCTTCATAAAATCTTGATAATATACATGTGAAAAACTTCATTCCCCTCCAATTTAAACTAATACTGGGGCAACGTGTTTTTACCATTGATGGAAATAGGAGTGGACCCCACTCCGGTTTGCCCTATTGCATCCATCGTAGCTAGTGCTGACGGCGTTCATCACAGCATACGTCAGCCAATATGTAAGCATACTTGGCTTCGCACAATTGAATTGCATGGATCTTTGTCCACCTGGTAGATTATAAATGGAACCAAAAGAAAAGCAAGGCAAAGATGGGTGAGATACTGACAAAAACCATGTTGTTATTTTTCATAATAATTTTTTATTTTCATGGATTAGATATTGACAAAAACTTTTGAAAAAGGATTCACATGATAGGATAGTAATACATAATCAATTGTAATATTTAATCAAGTTGTATTAAACAATAATATTTTTTTTTGGGTACAGAGGAGGGCTAAAGCCCCAAACCAAAAAGAAACTAAATAGAAACTAAACAAGGTCTAATAGCACCTCAAACATCAACAGCTAACATATCACTAAGAAAAGCTGGAGCCTCCAGAAACACATAAAGACCAAGAGCAAAATCATAACTCTTCGCAGCGAGAGCATCCGCAACACAATTTTGTTCATGAAAAATATGTTTCACAAAGCAGCACAAATCCTCATGAATCTTCATTTTGCAGCAATTGATAATACTAAAGAGAGGGTGTGTTGACACAATAGGACTTTTTACAAGCCACAACAGAAGTAGCATCACACTCAATCTCCACTGTGCGAAATCTAGCATCCCAAGCCATATTAAGCCCCCAAAAAATCCCTCATAACTCAGCCTCAATGATGGAACAATAGCTCAAATTCACAGAGAAACCCTTGATCCAACTCCCACAAGAGTCTCTTAACAAACCCCCAGCCCCAATAAGACCAGAGGAATTAATTTTGCTACCATCAATGTTGACTTTACAAACACCAGGAAGAGGGGCCATCCAATAGAGATGAACAACAATCCGCTCAGGGAGAAAAGCCATTGCATTACAAGCTAAAAACCACTCCAAAGCACACTGATAAATCATCAAATGAGGTTCAGCAGGCAAGAGAAAATTCTGATCAAAAACCACTTTACATCTCCATTTCCAAATAAACCAGAGAAAGATAGCAAAAACCAAATACCAGGGCAGGCCATGGACAACAAACCTCTTACAATATTTTCTTATTTAATTTTTCTAAATATACTACTATATTGAAAATCATTCATTGTTTATGCTTTTTTTTACATTCTAGTACTTTTCAATCTTCATGTTCTAAAATTGCTTTCCAATTAAATTACCATATATATTTTTAGATCTTTAAAATATAAATTTATTTTCTCATTTTTATTTTCTAATAACAGTGTACATAAAATTTTCAAAAAATGTTAGCTTTATTTTTTTTGGGTGAAATGGCGTGTTCAACACCCAGAACAAAAAACCACAAATTAATGGAAAATTTTGGTTTACAATCCCTATATTTTTACCGAAACTTTTGAAAATTATTTTAGTTCATCCACCAAGTCTAAGTGTTGTTGGACTAGTAGATGAGCATCCAATTCAACTCTAACCTTTCTTAGCACGTATGGAGTAGATGACACCAGTGGCGGACCCAGACTTTCGTTTATCTGGGGGCTTAAAAAATTTAACCATTATATATCAAACAAAAAATATTTCAAACTTGGAATATTAATATCATTGTTTAATAAGTAAATTTACAATTGTCCTCTACGACTTTTCATATTCTGAAAACATTGCATAATAAGCTCATTATCAATACTATTAAATATGACTTTTTCAAGATATACAACCAAGCAATCATTCATCCATTGGTCTCCCATTTGATTGCGCATTCTGTTATTCACAATGTTCATAGCAGAGAATGCCCTTTCTACTGAAGCTGTTGCAACTGGAAGTGTTAACGCCAATTTTATGAGAAGATAAACTAGTGGATATGCCCTGTCCTTTTTTGTCTCAACTAGTTTTTTTGCAAGAGCAGCAATACCTTGTAATTCTGAAAAGTTGGTGTTGGAATGCATATCATCAATATAAGTTTGAAGTTGATCTTTAAGTACCTCAAGTTCTTGTGTAGAAAAATCATTCGGGTAAAGTTGAGTAAGCCGAATGAGCTTTTGCTTATCAAAAGAAGAAAATGAATCATTTGGACTCAAGCATGCCAAGCAAAGTAACAACTCAGTGTTGGCCTCATTGAAACGACTATTCAACTCTTGGAGTTGCAAAGCTATCATTTCATAGACAAAATCAACACGATAATAATGCATATTTGTGATATTTGGACCGCTGCGTCATGACCTCCCTCGAGCTAGAAACATATCATTCATGTTAGGAACATCAATACTTTGATTCCTGCAAAAAACAGAAACTTCCTCCAACAAAGAATCCCATCCATTCTCCCACATCTTTTGGAATTGTTGCTTACATAATTCAACTAAATCCATGGCATTCACAATATCTTGATCATCCCTCTGTAAGGCTTGTGACAATGCATTTGTGATTCCAAGTATATTCCTCATCAAATGCAAATTAAATACAAAATCAAATGATTGCACTAATCCTAGCAGTATAAATGCCTCATGTTTTTTTATCAACACTTAATCTATCATTTGCAATTTCATAAAGCACATCAATTGTAGATGAGAACATGGTAATAAAGTTTATCAACGTACCATAATATGAGCCCTAACGTGTATCATATGAACGCTTAATCTCTGTTGCTTGATTTAAACATTTCCCATTAGAAAGCTCCCCATTGGTCAGTGCTTCAACTACTTTGAGAGCTTGCTTATCCCGAAGAATGTCACGACGCTTCGAGGATGCTCCAACAATATTTACCACATTAGAAATTAAGGTGAAGAAAGCACCTAAGAGGCTGTGCTTTTTTGCCAAACCCACAATAGCCAACTGAAGTTGATGTGCAAAACAGTGAACATAGTAAGCAGACTCATTCTCCCTCATAATAAGTGTCTTCAGACCATTGAACTCTCCACTCATATTATTGGCCCCATCATAACCTTAACCTCGTAATCTGCACATACTCAATTTATGTCTAGAAAATAATGCATCAATACTTGCTTTAAGTGACTCAGCTGTGGTACTTGTAACATGTTCAATACCTATGAATCGTTCAATCACACATCCTTCCTTGTCTACATAACGAAACATAACAACCATCTGCTCTTTTACTGATACATCACGAGATTCATCAACTAAAATAGAAAATAATGCATCATCCATATCTCTAATAATAGCATAAGTAGTTTCAACTGCTGCAGCATTTACAATGTCTTTCTGAATCTTAGGTGAAGTTACTATGAGGTTTTCAGGAGCATTTTTCAAAGCAACAGCTCTAACTTCCTCATTGTGATCAACAAGAAATTGCAAAAGCTCAAGAAAATTACCTTGGTTGCTTGAATCATCAGACTCATTGTGGCCACGAAAGGCAAGACCTTGTCGTAGAAGAAATCTAATACAATCAATAGATGCATTCAATTTGATTCTGTAGTCAATTCGAGATTGATGTGAGTGCTTATGGAAAACATTTTCAATATGTTGTTTTTCATTCATTAAGGCTTGACATTTTTTCAGAGCTTGGTTATGGGAACTATTGGGACCTCCAACATAAACTTGAAATCTTTTGTTTTTCTTCCAATTTGAAAAACCTGTACCAACAAATGAGTCACCTCCAGCTTTCTCTCCCAAATTTGTTTTAAAAAGATAATAAGCAAAATGCAGCATCTTCTTTGATGTTATATTCCAACCAATAAGGGAATTCATCAAACCATGTCGGGTTGAATCGTCTTGACTCTTTTCCAAATTTCTTTTGAGGGAAATCATGATTTCTAGGCTGACAAAGGCCTTTTTGTAAGTAAGCTCTTCTAATTTCATCTCGAATGTTAGGATTGTAATCTAAAATCCGAGTTCGCAAACCAGGATCAGAATGAAGATCTAACATATTGATTTCTATGCGACTTTGCTTTGAACTATCATCACTTCTCCCAATAGGTCCAGACAACTCCAACTCGGATTTTCTTTTTAAATATTTTTCCATAACTGTCATAAATAGTTTATATTATTTTTCATCAAGATATATGTAATAACCCAAACCCAAAATTAATATTTAATTATTAATTTATTTGAGAAAAAGGCTAAAATACCCCTATAATATTTTATTAGTTTAAAATTTGACTTTTTGACCAGGAAGGAATTTGAGGATTCCAGTTGTACTATTGCGTAGAGCGCGACAAAACGAGTCCGTAGACATGTAGTGGACTCAAAACGGAGTTGTAATGAAGGAGTTACGAGCAAAATAAGTTCAGTGGCATAACCGTAAATATCTCGAACTTTAATTTTTATAAACCCAGAATCTTCTGGATTCGGCAGGGGAAGGAGCCGACTTTCTGAGCTGATTCCTCTCAGCTCCGACCCCCGATTCAGGCAATACCAGTGCCAAATGAACCACGAAACTTCCCTCTTCCAACCCCAGCCCTTCGCCGCCACGATCCGCCGCCATAGTCGTCGGAAACAGCCACGAAACAGGCGGCGCTGGACAGTTTTTGACAGAACTTCCAAGCGTTCGTTCTCCGTCGTCCGGCCACCAAATCGGACGAGTGAGGTATGGTTTTCTAGCTATTTTTCATGCTCTAGCTGCTGGTTGGGTAGGATTTCAGAAATTTCTAGCGTAAATAGCTCGATTTACGAGTTAGGTTTCAGCCGGTTTTCGAGTCACTGTTCCGGCCATTTCCGGCCACTTTTGGGGGTAGGTCCAAGAACAAAAGTGGTTCCAAATAGGGTGTTTTACCTGGGATAGGAGTCTTGAACCGAGATGTTGAGATTTTCCGGCGAGGCGTTATCACTTTAGGCACCACGCGCTGCCAGCGCATGTGGCGGCGCGTGGGCAGCAGGGTGGGGACCACAGTAAGTCCTAGAGTGATCTCCTAGTCCTCACGAGCGCGTAGGATTTCGCAGATCTTAATTCGGATAACGTTTGAACCCCGAACGGATCTCGCCTGGTATGCGATTTCCGGGTTCTATACGTTTGAACCGTTGGATCGTAGTCAATTTCAAGTATGTTGATCTAGGTATTTCCAAGATCGTATAGTATTTGACGGATCGTAAGACGGAGTCCCGGATACTCTAGAAATGTCAGCCCTAGAGTATGTTTTACGGATAATTAAACCAGTTACAAAATAACGAACTAGTTGCAGGTCAAGAACAGAGGAAAGAACTACGTGTGGCTTGATCCCTCAGTAAGGGTACGTAGGCAGCCTACCGTTACCAGGCGCAGCCACGAGTTAGGGCCTTAGGGTTTGTGTTATTGTTTTTCAGGGCCTTTTGATCATTTAAGACCCACAGTTACCAGATGTTAGTTTTAAACAGGATTCGGCCCGGATTTCAAAGTGGAAATTGGGTCGGGTCGTTTCAATATATATATATAATAATAAAATCAATCATCAGTACAAATTGAACGCATATAAATAAGAATATAATGAAATTAGTTTGGAAAAATCAACTAAGTACTAACCTGTAAAATCAATTAAAGTAGGGAGTTTGATTTGTTAGGCTGTAGACTTCTGTCAAATAACGAGTTTGGCGGCTGAGTTCTCCACAAAATTACAGAATGAGTGAACTTGGTGGGATCTCTATTTTTCTTTTTTAACATAGGGTTTAGGGTTTTTCTTTTTTAATATAAGTTTTGGGCTTTAAGTGTGTATTGAATAGGCTATGTGGGGGCTTTACTTGGAAGGAACCTAAAAATAATTAAAAATTATGAATTTAAGTGGGATTATATGGCTGAAGGTTTTTTGGTAAGTGTGGGCAGCTGCCCACAGTTGTCTTTAATTGGGTACACCAGTGGATGACACATGGCCCATTCTAATGTCATGTATGGAGTAAATGCCAATAAAATGACCTGATAATTGCTTTTGTATTAGCCAAAAAAATAAAGTCACCAATTTTATAAAAATGTAATGTAATGCAGTAGGTATAATCTTCAACTAACCAGTATAAGGCCCTTGATAAGTTGGTCAGTATAATAATCAAGCTGTGTCTCCTGCAGGGGAAAGCAAATGATCGATCATGTTAGTTCCATTTTTACCCTTTGTCCTTTTCTCACCAATCAGACCTTGTAAAGCCTCCTTCGTAATCTGCTGGGTTCGCTGCTCTGCTATGAGCAAAAACCTCCTTCATAATATGCATGAACTGCCTGCCTCTTCCTTGTCCACCGACACGACGTCGCTATTACCGTAGCATCTCTTCCCCCAAACCATTGTCATTATGATGTTAAAGGTCAGCTCAGAGAACATAGACTTCAACTCGACCTCTGCAAAACCATGAATCGAGTTTTGTGAAAGTTTGTGTATTAAGTGTTTGACTTGGTCTTTTCGCGCGTCAGAAAATGTGTTGAGTTGAGTAGTGGAGAAGATCTCGATGGCTCCAATGCCACGGAGGTTGCGTCAGTGATTGCCTTATGGGTAGGTTGCGATGGTGGTGTTGTTATAGCCTAAGGTCTCGTTTGGTTCATGTGAAAGGAGGTTTGGGGATGGAAAATCAATTGCTTCCCCATGTTTGGTAATAGTTGCCTTGCACATGGGAAAGTAGGGGGGAAAGTTAATCCACCTTAAGTTTTGTTTTCTTCTTCATGAGAAAGTTTAGAAAAATGAGCAAACATTAAATATACATTTTTCATGACCATATTATTCTCATTAACAATTTAGAATTACAATATAGTATTAAATGCATTTTTTTTTAAATTTCATATTGGTATAATTGGTAAATTAAAAAACTTTATTTTACATTCATACACAAACCAAACATGTGACAGGAAAGAAAGTGGTATTTCTCGATTACTTTCTCATGATTACCAAACATGGGAAATGAATCTTCATTTCTCATCCCTTAGGAAATGACATGGGAAGTGATTTCCCCTCAAATTCTTTCCGTGAACCAAACGGGACCTAAGTACTTGCCTAGGAGCAGTGGAGGACGGTTTTCCAAAACAATGTCATTTTTGGTGAAACAGTCTTGGACAGCACAGTGGACGAGGATGAAACTATGACCACATGCTGGGAGCAGAACCAGAGAGAGAAAATAGGGCCGTGTTTTGGGGAGAGGCAATGGAAGGTTTGGTGGACTGGGGGTTTTACAAGATGGAGATGGCCAAGGACTGGAAGAGAAAGCGGGCTTGGTGAGAGGTTGGTGTAACGTAGTCGTTTTGTTTAAAGAAAAAACTTGAAAGTGAAGATGACGATGAAGATAAGAGAGAGGGACGTTGTGTAGAAGAAGATGCCTTGTTCCATGGTTTGTTTTGGTTATTAGTTGCTGTTTGTTGATATATAAGTTTGATTTTGGGTGGTGGATTTTTGGTATTTATAAAGGAGAAGGACGTGAGGGAGAGTTGCCTAGCTATACTTGTTTTAAGTAACTAGATCAAATTTGTATGGCTATGAGGGAGACACATAGAAATTGATTGTTTTATGAGAAGGATATGCATCTCACGCGTGTATGATTGAGACTTGAGAGAGCCCATCCTACTACCCCCTTTTTCAATTCAAACCAAATGCAATTGATTGTAGTTGTCGTGTTGTGTTCTTGGTGGGGTATCCATATATCACAAGATGTAGAGTGCAAATTGATATGGAGACCTGTACTCTTAATTCTAGAGGTCCAGCCGAATGAAAAATGACATTAATTTACAGACTAATAGTTTCAGGGTTCGAACATCCATAGCACTTTAGTTGGTAGTGTGTATGTGAGAAACCTTCTCCCCTTTATAGTTTAGACTAATTTTAAAAAATTCCAATTTTGACCACTAATTATGTTGTCATATAAGAGTATACAACAAATTAATAGAAGTGATCAGTCACTTGATTCGAGTCATAAAAAACATAGATTAGGCAGTTCAGGATCATTTTGTTGAGTAAATAGGAACCCACTCGGGTATTCAGGATTTTGATAACTTTATTTACATTAATTTTAGGGAAATTTGCATAAATACTACCTGAACTTTCAAGCAGGTGCGTTATTACCACCTGAATTTTTAATTTTTATTTATAACCATATGAACATTGTAAAGTGTTGCAATCCACCATTTACGTTTAACTTTGATAAAATTTCCATTAAGTTTAAAGGTATTTTTGACAATTAACTATAACTAGGAATAATTATTTAAAAAGGCATAAATTTTTATTTATTTTTTTAAAAAAAGTTAAGTGGCAAACTGAGGATTGAAGTTAGGGCAAGAGAGAAATGATGATAAACCAACAGCACCTACTGGATCTAAGCCATCAAGATTCTTCCATGTCAAAATAAAATGCTCTATTTGTGAGGAGCAAGGCCACAACAAGAGAAAGTGTGAGAAAAGAGGTGGTGCCAACAATATCAGTAAGGTATGTAGGTTTATTGGTTTTCAAAAGGCCAACCAAGCGTTGTCAGTATACAAACAATTCAACCAATTTTTGCAAGTACATCAACATACCAACCAAGCCCTAGTTTGCCAATGGAATCACAACCCGTTTCTTTTGTGACAACCAACACAATCAGGAAATTTAGGTTCAAGTCTCATGCTAAGAAGATAAAGATTTGGAGATCATAGAGGACTTAATTACTTGGTTATATTTATGTTTTATAATTAACTTGGAGTTTATTATAGGCATGTCTTGTATAAGGACTGCACGGTGTTTTGGTACTTCAATTTAGGCATTCGTTGAACTTGTTTGTCAGTTGCGGATGTTTAGGACCTTTTTGGTATATTTATATGTACTAGGAATGCAGTTGACTCATTCCCAAAACCTGTGATGAAGTTACGAATTTTGAATTCTAGCTTTTGATGTTTTGAATTTGCTCAATGGAGGGGGAGAGAGAGAGTAATTGTAGTCTGAATTTTTATTTTTTTTTCTATTGCAAACTTTCATTGAAATGAAGTACAAGCCTTTGAATAAATAGAGCAAGCCATGAAATGAAAGCAAGAAGGCTTTGATGGGAAAAGAAACGAAATACAAGATGGCAACAAAATCAATGGACCATTGCAATTTGATATGATATTTGGTGGAATAAAGACGAAGTAGAGAGAAAAATGAGAGATATGGAGGTTAGCTTTATTTATTTTGTTTTTTTTATTATGATTTTTTTATAATTATTCTTAGTTATAGTTAATTGACCAAAATACCTTTAAATTTAACGGAAACTTTAACGAATTTAGACATAGGTGGTGGATTGCAACACTTTACAAAGTTCAGGTGGTTAAAAATAAAAATTAAAAGTTCATGTGGTAATAGCGCATATGCCTGAATGTTCAAGTGGTATTTATACAAATTTCCCTTAATTTTAATACTATAATATAGTGCATGGAAAATACTATAACACGTACTATTTAGGGTTTTGAAGAAAAACAACAAGTAAACCATATATACAAGAACACAAGTAAAATTAAAATATATATTCCCATCCCGTGACTTGTTTAGGCCATCTTAATTTGCATTATGGCTTCATGCCTATGATTATAAGAATTTTATCTTTGAAAAAAAATTAAAGGAACCAAAAGATACCAAAATTCTCATTGAACCAATGGTGGAACAACTATTAAGGCGCAAGGAGGTAAATGTCTTTGTCCTTTTACTTTCATTTATTTTTATATTATTCCATTTACTTAAGTTTACAATATAAATAAGGAAGTACCCCTTATTTGGATTCAAATAAAAATACTAGCAAATCAAATTCCAACCAAATCAAAATATGAAAAATTGGTTTTAGTGCAAAATACGATTTAGGATAAAAATGATGGCTCATTAAGTCAATATATACTTCATAATAAAATCTCATAAAATCAAGTTTTCTTATTTGATGTGTAAGGAAAAAAAGCTATCAAAAATTATCTTGGGAAAATGATTATTTCGAAAAACCATTTTTCATACTTAGTCAATATTTTTATATAAAACAATTTTTCATGTATGATATGAAAGCTGAAGGGACCTAAATCTAAGTAAAAAGCCTTAGATGTTCAATCCACAAAGAGTTTTTAGCCTTTCAAAATTGCACATCCGCTAAAAAATTCATAGGTCTGCCAATGCCATAAAGAAACCAAAATTATAAGAATTATATCTTTGATAAGTGGTTGTGATCTTCAACATGTCTATCGAGAGCGAAATTGTTTGGCAGATTGTCTTGCTAATGGATGCTACAATCTGAACATAGGCATGTGTTAGTTTGAGTCAGTGCCTCTTTGGGCTGAAGCGGCTTTGGTTGATGATATGCTTGCGGTCTCTAGGCCCCGTTTAGTTCGTGTTGCGTAGGTTTTGTTTGGGGTTTTTACCCCTTATGTCATAAAATAAAATATATAAAAATTCTCATTGAAGCCATCACCGAAGACAACCAGGTTCCATGGAGACTCTTCACTATTGTTCACAATGTGAGATATCTTATTCCTTAGTTTTAGACTATCTCCTATCTCGTGGGTTTGTTCTGTAATCTTTACTTTTCCTTCTTAAAAAAAAAGAAGAAAGAACCCAAAAGACAAAGGGCAAAGTTAATTGGCTTAATTATGTACATGCCCCCTGTGTTTTCCAACTTATCTCAAATTACCACATGTGGTGGAAAACATCTCAAAGTACCCCCCAACGTGCAAAAAACTGTCTCACGTTACCCTTTCCGTCAGTTTTTTTGAAGTTCCGTTACGAACGTTACTGTTCATCTCCCCCAAAATTCCAGAACAGCAGCTCCTCCCATTTGTTACTGTTCATCGCACCAGTTTTTGGGCTGTCATCGCCTCCTCCGGCCACCCCAAGCGACGACATGGATATCAAAAGAACCAGCACGTTGTCCTCTACCACCCTCACATCTCAGCCGCTGCCAACCGTCGTCTGGATCACCGAAAAAAGCAAGAAATTGGCCGGTTTTTACCCAAAATCTCCATTGCTCGTTCGGGCGATTCCGAGCACCATTTTCTTCGATCCAGGTATGATTTTTCAACATCTCGAGTTGTTCTTGCTGCTAGTTGTGTTTGTTAGGAGAAATTTTTGAGTTTTGGAGGGTAAATAAGCGATGAACAGTAACAAAGGGGAGGGGCTACTGTTCTGGAATTTTGGGGGAGATGAACAGTAACATTCATAACGGAACTTCAAAAAAACTGACGAAAAGGGTAACGTGAGACAGTTTTTTGCACGTTGGGGGGTACTTTGAGACGTTTTCCACCACAGGTGGTAATCTGAGATAAATTGGAAAGCACAGGGGGTATGTACATAATTAAGCCAAGTTAATTTGTGTCTTGTTTAAAACGTAGTCTCTCTTTGAAAGGTTCTTGGGTTGATCTTGTAGATCCGAAACAAACAAAAAATGTTGCAAGAGTTGTGGGCCGGGTCCTATAACTGGTACCAAGAAATTAGGCCGGTGATCAAGCCCAATGGAATGGTGCAACGAGGACCGAAGGAGGGAAATTTATTTTCAGAGCCCACAAAAACAAAAACAAAAAACTGCTATAACCTTGCCAGATGGCATACTGTCGGTGGCTGGTCGACAGACCCAACAGACCCAAGAGTAGAAGAGTATGTTGAAGGTTTTACATTATCCACGCTTTAAAACAAAAATATAATGAAATTGGAAATTGGGAAAAAGAGTGCAAAAAGAAAAAATTGATGCTCCCCTGCTGCCCTTCCATCTTTGTGAGACTTCGGTTTCCAGACCAGAGGCCCTCAAAACTCTCTGCAAAACCAAAAATCCCCCACTTTACCCGTTTCCCATTTCAACTCCTCGCTCTCTCTCTCTCTCTCTCTCTCTCTCTCTCGCTCTCTGATTGAAGCTGGGCCATATCATAACAATTGAAGCCGGCGACTTTTTGGGACGATGACCTCCATCACCTCCGTCGAGTTGAATTTCCTCGTTTTTCGTTACCTTCAGGAATCAGGTAGGAAATACTTTGCAACCTCAATTTTTCATAAATTTCGCTTTATGTATTCTATTCCCTTTTAAACTTAGATTGCCATTCTAGGTTTTTTTGGGTACATTTTTTCAGGGTTTATTAATCAATTTCTGTTACATAGTTTCTTTTGTAACTTAATTATGTTTTTTTTTATAACTATAATTTTGGGAATAACTTTTCGAATTGGCTTCTCGGTTTCGGGAGCTGAGGGGGCATGATCTTATAGATCCGAAAACGATAGTGGGTTTGATTTCATTGTGTAGTTCTCCTCCGGAATGGTCGAAAGATCATTTATTTTTAATTTTTCTTCATAAAACTTTGTTGCTCTATGGTTTACTACTAGAATATGTGGTTGAATAATTTCTCTTGTTTACAAAGTTTCTTCTTTCATCACTTTCTCAGGCTTCACACACTCAGCTTTTGCTTTAGGATATGAGGCCGGTATCAACAAAAGCACTATAGATGGCAATTTGGTTCCACCTGGTGCCCTCATTACATTTGTACAAAAAGGACTTCAGTACTTGGAGATGGAAGCTAACTTGAGTAATGTTAGTATTCTTAGTTCTTTTGCTATAAATTATTAAATAACTGGTCATTTCTATTCAGTAACTTGTGTACGATGCACAGCTTAGAATATATGTTAACCAACTTTTGCTTTAAGCTTGCCAGAGTGACGCAGATTTGGACGAGGATTTCTCATTGATAAACCCTTTAGATCTTATCACAAAGGATTTATATCAACTTAGGCAAATGATTAAAGAGAAAAGGAAGAATTTACAGAAGGATAGAGACAAAGATAAAGAGCGTGAGTCTTATAAGAAAGATAAGGAGCTTGAAAAAGAACATGAAGGAGAGCGGGCACGAGTAAAAGAGAAGGAAAGGCAAGAAAGGGAGAAGGAATTTGAAAAGGACAGAGAGAGGATAGAAAAGAATAAGGAGCAAGAAAAACAGCATGAGGACCACAATGACAGAGATATGGTTACTGATCAGGAAGAGAAGATTAATGTCAAACATGAAGACAATGGAGCTTCTGGAGGTAAATTCAATTTTTACGGAAAACAATTTCCCCTTTTCGTATTAGTTTTTTATTCTTTTATTTATTAGCCTGAATACAACTATTAAGGCAACAAATGCCCATAGTTTGTTAGCAGCCATGAATCTGTTCAATTTTATGCCCTTTCTTTTGTGATTGGCAAAAAGTAAGAGCTAAGATGTAGTTCCATACTTCTTGAGCAAGCCATGGTGCTGGGAAGTTTTTATGTTGAAGATCCTGGGATAAATCATAACTTAGCTGATGAACTACCCTTTTTTTGTTGAATTCTTTTTTAATGTCTCCTGAACAGGAAAATAAAATAAAAGAACACTCTGCATTAACTTCCTGTTTAAACTTTGAGAATGGAGGAATTTGAATAGGAAATTTACTGATGCATAGTACACGTTGTAGGAAGTAAGAAATGCACTTAGAAGCTTAAGTAACGATCTGCCCAGGTAAGAGTTGCTTATGCAATGTGGTGCCTTGCACATTTCTTGGTATTTGAGTAACTAGCAATGCAAGGAATTTAAACTAGCTTCATTGCATAATAAGTTAGGTATGATGAATTAGAGTTCTTTGCATACGTGTAAAAAGACAGAGCATGCTATCAAACTCCTCACTTAGTACAGTTGAAAAATTGTGGTTCTACCCAAGTTATTGTTATGTATCGCACCCTCTGCCTTTTTTCTCCCTGTCTATTTCCTAAAGGCGCATTATGGTAATAATTTTTTTTTGTTGGAGCAGAACCAATGGATATTCCTACAACAGATGTTGAAATCCCTAGTTCTGATGTGACAATTCTAGAAGGCCATACTTCTGAGGTTTGACCATGTCTCCTATTTTCTTGAAGTACCCACCTTATTCCTGGCCTTTTCCCCTTTCTGTTTGTTATGTTTCATCATATGTGTCTCTCTGTGACATTGGTTTGCTTTTCCTTTCTTCATTAGGTATGTGCTTGTGCTTGGAGTCCAGCAGGGTCCCTTCTTGCATCAGGGTAGGTATCTCATTGTTAGATTGTTCATATTTAGTGTATGTATATATTATCTATTCTCTTTTCTAGATTTAAGACACAAGGACTCATGAAAAAAAAATACGTTGATTATCTGTGTATTTATCTCTTTACTGATTGTTTCACATGTTGATCTCTGCTGGTGAAGTTCTAACATTAAATCAGACATGTTTTTGCCTTTTATCTGCTCAATATATCTTTACTTATTGTTTTAGAGTCTGCAAAATTTGATAATATACGTGCTTGTTGTTTAATCCTTTTTTGTTAGCTTTAATTTCGGTAAAATCAACATCTCTTAAGACTTTCTGGATCTGTTGATATTGTATTATCATGTTAATGGGCCTGTAATGTCCGCCTGAATGCGGGCTGTTTCTGAATCCATGTTGTTACCACTCTATGTAAGGATTACCATGGTATTGGTAAACTTTTTAAAGTCTTTTACCTTTTTTCCCTCCTCTTATTCTTTGCACATTTGATTAATCACTTTCTAGGTCTGGAGATTCGACAGCTCGTATTTGGACCATTGCTGAAGGAAGCTCCAGATTGTCACAAAACGGCTCCTCAAATGTGTTGGTTCTGAAGCATGTTAAGGGTAGAACAAATGAGAAGAGTAAAGATGTCACGACACTGGATTGGAATGTGAGCTCCGTTATTATGGATTTATTTTGTGATATCTGCCCTATCAAATTTCTTGTAATAGATTTGCATGCCATGTGGATGCTCATTTGTTATGGGTTCTCGCAAGTTTCACCCAGAAAGAAAAGAAACTCGTTTTCTTTCTTTCCAAAAGCATCCAATACTGCAGGAGCTTCTTGCCTAGTTTTTTGTTATTCTTTTTTTTGTAGAAATTACTATTTTTGTGGATATGCAAATAAACCTTTCCCTTGTTCAGGGAGAGGGAACACTGCTTGCAACGGGCTCGTATGATGGGCAAGCAAGAATTTGGACTACAAATGGTAAGCAGACAGCTTTTTTTCCTGTTTTTATTTTGATTTTTGTTTTTTTTTTTTTTTATATAATAAACCATTTTGGAAGTTTTTAACAACGTAATCTTTGCCCAGGTGAATTAAGAAGTACTTTGAGCAAACATAAAGGACCTATATTCTCTCTAAAGTGGAACAAAAAGGGGGATTATCTTCTTACGGGAAGCTGCGATAAAACTGCAATTGTGTGGGATGTGAAGGCAGAAGAATCGAAACAACAGTTCGAATTCCATTCAGGTGTATATTATTTTAATGTATTGTAACAGACCTTGTTTACCTCCTGGTGTTGGGATTTTGATGTCTATTTTTTTTGTCATTTAGGTCCAACACTTGATGTTGACTGGCGGAACAATAATTCATTTGCAATGAGCTCAACAGACAATATGATATATGTTTGCAAGATTGGGGAAACCCGCCCTATTAAAACTTTTACAGGCCATCAGGTATGTTCAAGCATTTAGCTGCTGTAGATCAATCCCGAGTGTAATTATCATTTTAACATTTTGTTCTTCTTATTATAAAATTTTGCATATATATATACAAGTCCCCTTCTATTGAGGGATCCCGCAAATAATTTTATTTGAGGGACACCCCTTAGGGCCCCCTACGAAATTTTTTTCAACGATCCAAACCATCTATTTTTCACATCCTCATTCAGAGATCATCCTTGCAAAAAATCATGCAAATTGAAAATCATTAAGGCATCTAATTGAGACCAACAAAATCAATGAACATGGTGCTTCAAGAAAGTACTAAAATTTCAATTGAGTGGTCAAATGATATCGGATTCAAGTGATTTTTTGTAGAAATAATCTTTGAATGAATATCTACAAAATAGACGAAATGAGTTCACTCAATTGTTTTCTGTGAAGGTAATTGATACTATCATTTTTCGTAGCTAATCAATGAATTTTGGTTGTTTCAGGGTGAAGTTAATTGCGTTAAATGGGATCCAACCGGTTCATTGTTGGCTTCATGTTCTGATGATATCAGTGCAAAGGTAATTTGTGTTACATTTTACATTTGTAGTCCAATATTTACATGTCTATAAGATGGTTGTTTGCATATAATTTTTTTAGTCTGTACTTTATAAGTAAAGATGGCTACCTAAATTAGAAACAGACCACGATGGTACACAAGATGGGTATGGCAACAGTAACGTTGTATGCCACTTACTCCAGAACATGGGAACAATGGGATTGGCTCAAATCAACTTTCATTATAGTGCTTGATTAGAAGTTTGAGTCTGATAATTCAAATATGTATGTGTGTGTGCACAAAGGCCGTTTGAGGAGTGATGTCTGTACTTTTTCTTTTCTGTATTTACCTGGGCCTCTTTTTCCTTAAAAGTCATAATTTTTTTTAATACAAGCGATAGTTTAAACAACAAGGGGAAGGGGGTTTCGCCCACACACACACTACTAGTGTTATGGAAGTCTACCACCTTTTGCACCGCTGGCAGTTCAGTAGGATGGTAATTATTCTGGTAACTATGATAGTCATGAACATGATGCTGTTTAGTCATTTTCACCTTTGTATCAGTTTTTGTTAGGTTCATTATTCTCTGTCATTAAGAAGACTATTGTTTTTGCAACTTATATAAAATCATGGTGTAGATATGGAGCATGAAGCAGGAAAAATATGTCCATGATTTAAGAGAGCATTCTAAGGTACTCCTCAGCTTTGTCTTTTTGAGTTTGATTTGTGTATCATGTCTCTGGAATTTTACTTTCTGGGAATCTTAAAAGCACTGGAAAAATGTATTGCAGGAGATATACACTATCAGATGGAGTCCCACTGGGCCGGGAACAAACAACGCTAACCAGCAGTTAGTTCTTGCAAGGTAAATATAGTGCTTTGTAGATGAAGTGAGATGCCGTTGGCTTTTCTATACTTGTTTGCATTGCATTCGTTACGTCTTCATTTCTTGTTTCAGTTAACATTTGCAAATTTTTTCAATAAATAGCTTTTACGTGGTTTCATATTTGTTCAATCAAAGCTTAATGATGTCAATTGAAATATTGTATAAAAACACCAAGTGATGTACCGCCCCTATCGTAAGACCTGGTTGATTGTTATTACTTCTGATTCATTTTGTACTTTTAATTGCCAATAATCCTTTTGTGCCGTGTGAATTTATTTTAAGCTACTGATCTTTTGTATTCATCTTGCTGTCATTGCATCTCTGTTCTTGCACCGGTCTTTGTGTAGAAATAGTTTTGTTTGATAGGAATCTTTATGTAGAAATATTGCAACATACAAACTTGGACTTTCATGCCATAAGTATACTCTGCCTCAGAAACTACACCAAAAAATGTACGTGTCATGGTTCTAAGTGGTCTGTGGGTGTGCTTTCTTGTACAGTGCATCGTTCGACTCCACTGTGAAGCTATGGGATGTGGAACTAGGAAAACTTCTCTACAGCTTGAATGGACACAGGTACTTGACTTAATAGAACTATGTGGTGTTTGAAGCTAAAAAAATTGCTGTAGTTCAATTTGTATTACCGTTAATCTGTCATTACATTTATATTTGTATTAATACTTTCAGTTGAATCAACAGGGATCCTGTTTATTCTGTTGCCTTCAGCCCAAATGGTGAGTATTTGGCCAGTGGATCTCTTGATAAATCCATGCATATCTGGTCACTGAAGGAAGGCAAGATCGTGAAAACATACACAGGAAATGGCGGTATATTTGAAGTCTGCTGGAACAAGGAAGGTGACAAAATTGCTGCATGTTTTGCCAACAATACTGTCTGCGTTTTAGATTTTAGAATGTGACTCTGGAAATCCTAAATTACCTTGTATTGGAATTAGTTGGTCGTCAAAGCCCAGCCATAGATTAGTTCTTTGTATTTGATTGGGATGGGTGGCAATTAGGTGGATAGGCTTGCATTTTAACCGTAGATCAAGGCTCTACTCTCTAATGTTCATTTAGTTTGTAAGCTCGTCCTGATTCAATTGTCAATCAGGCTTTCATGCTTTTTCTAGGAGAGTATGTACAGGATTATTTATAACATTTTTAGTTAGGCTTGTTAATGGAGTTTGCTTCTCTCTCGAAAGTATCCAAAGCTGTTTTTTCCACTCTTTTTCTGGTTTTGTTTTGTGTTGAAATTGGAATTGAATCTTATTGTGGGTTTCCAATTTTCTGATCATGCAACCTAATGGAATTACCCGAATACCTTAAATTTTTTTAGAGGAACACAGAGCGCTTGAAGCATTTGGAATCATAAAAAACTTTTTGTTTTTAGTTTACCGAAGAAATGGAGTCGTTACTTCGTCCAATAAATATCCTGGTGTTGCGGGGAAGCTATGGTCAAATTGAGGCATATTTTGGTTTGTTCGAAACTACGGTTAATTAGGTGTTCAGAATTGAATATAGATTGAAGATGAAAATTTGTTTCCAGAAGCATCTCAGAGGAACCAATATTGGTAATTTACTATTCACCAGTAATCGCCACAAGAGCATGAACCATTTGCAAAGTGGTGAAACCTGTTTCTGTCCCTCATTACAATCTTCCGCCCAGTAATTTTTGAAATTAGCTTGGTCACAGCATGACAATCCGAACACACACGGAGGTTCTTTACAATTTTGATCGTAGTTCCGGGTTGAGTGCTTATTAGCCCAAAAGCAATAGCAAGCTTCTCACTATGAACTTCGAGGGATTGCTCCTTTTCTCTCTCCCCCAAATCATGTAGCACAGTATCAATTTGTGGGGTGTAACCGTGAGCCTTAAGCCACTGGTTCATCTCCTTGATCATCATGTATATTTCTTTGCTCCTCGGGCTTCTCCTATCCCCTGCAAGGAATTCATGCACCTTGTTATCCACTTCAATTGAGCTGCAACCAGGCTCCTTCTGAATCCCACTGTGTTTCATCAAGGTCCTCACCCTTGCCACCCCATCCCAGTTCCCAGCTGCGGCGTAGATGTTAGAGAGAAGAATAAATGTTCCTGAATTTGCGAGGTTTTGGCCAAGGAGAAACTCTGCTATCTCCTCTCCCAAAGTAATGTTACCATGGAGTCTACAAGCCCCAAGTAATGTTCCCCATAGGACAGGATCAGGATCTATCTTCATGTTCTGGACAAACTCATATGCTTCTTCAAGCTGTCCAGCACGGCTGAGGAGATTTACCATGCACCCATAATGCTCAATCTTCGGTTCAATTCCATATTCATCCTTCATTGAACAGAAAAAAGCTCGTCCCTCGCTGACCAAACCACCATAGGCACAAGCACTCAAAACACCAATGAAGGTTATAGCAGTAGGTTGGCAACTAAGTCTACACATTTCATGGAACAACTGCAATGCATCTCGGCTAAATCCATGCATTGCATAACCTACAATCATCGAATTCCAAGCAACCACGTCCTTCTCATCGATCATATCAAAAACCAGACGAGCATCATCCAAACTACCACATTTATTATACATATCAATCAAAGCAGTTCCCACATGAGCATTGACTTGAATCCCATTATTTTCAATGTAAGAATGAAGCCATCGACCTGACTCAAGAGCCCCAAGCTGCCCACAAGCAGAGAGCAAAGACAGTACAGTCAATTCGTTTGGCTTAATTTTCGCCACCAGCATTTTCCTAAACAGCAACAAAGCCTCATTTGGCATCCCATGCTGAGCATACCCATCAATCATCACATTCCAACATACCACATCTCTCTCCTCCATCCCATCAAACAGCACACGGGCCTCCTCAACCTCCCCTCTTTTTGCATAACAAGTGATCATCGCCGTCAAAGAAACTAAACTCTTCTCAGGCATTGTATCAAACAGTTGTCTTGCAGACACGACATCACCAGCTCTCGCATAAACATCAACAAGACCCGTCCTGACATACAAATCCGAATCAAACCCGAGTTTAATCGTCTGAGAATGGAGGGCTTTTCCGGGTCTAAGCGGGCAAGTTTTCATGACAGCGGAGAAGGTGAAGCAATTGGGTTCTACGCCATTGGTCAGCATTTGGGTGTAGTACATGAGGGCAAGGTCATGAAGACCGCATTGGGCATGGCTGTGGATGATGGAGGTCCAGAAGAAGACGCTGGGGTTGTGGGTTCGTTGGAAAAGGGCAACTGTGTAGTCGAGACGGCCGAGAGAGGCGTAGGAGCGTTGGAGCTTGAAGTTGAGGATTGGGTGGTGGTGGAGACCGTGGCGGAGGAGAAGGGCGTGGGTTTGCAGAAGGTGGTTGATGGATTTTGACTTGTCGACGAGGAATGTGAGTCTGTCAATTGATGGCGGGTGTTGGCGGTGAGTGGGTGTGGTGGTGACCAGAGGGGTGGTTGAGGAGATCATCGTTTTTGCTAACGGTTTCTCAGATATTTGGCGCCATCAATTATTTATCGTTTTTTTTCTTTCTATTTTCTGTGTTATTTCTCAAATATTTGGTGCCATCAAAGAATTTTATAGTGACAGTGGAAATGTTGAGCGAAGATTGGTGAAACTTGATGGATTGGATTGGATAAAAACAATTTAATATCTAATTTAATTGGATTGATTAGACTATCGCTTATATTAAAAAAAAATTAATTGAATTAGTTTTAAGTTTAGGGTATTAAAAATCAAATTAGTCTAATTATTTGGGAGGTGCTTCTTTCCGTAAAGTGATTCTAGCCACCTTCTCAAAATCACTTTCAAACATGCCCTTAATAGCATATGTTGATTAGACCAGTTGGTCATGGCTGTGATCCACTCCCTTGCACCCAAATTCAAATCTTCCTCTTGGTAAATTAGATTAATTTCAGAATAATTTAAATTATCCCTTGTATTAAAATATATATATTATAATAATCAAATTGTTTGTACTATTATTGAATTAAATATTATGCTATTACTCAAATTTGCATTTTTTTGGGTTCATGTGAGCATGACTCAAATATTTAAATATTTAAATTTTAAAATTTTAAAAAAAACAAATACACATAATAAGTATGACTTTTTATTAGCGAGACAAGAAGTATGACTAAAGTCTACTAAAAACAGGCCTAATGGTAAAAACATTCAAGTTAACAGAAGCTCAATCTTGTTGAACGGGAAGTTTTGAATTAGATGAAGATTCCAGTATTTCAACTTAATTATGGCCCCTTTGATTACACACTAGCTTCTTATTCTCAATATATACCAAATAGCGAAGAAATGTTGCAAAGTTGAGAAAGTTTAGTGCTTTAGTTCAACCTTTTCTTGTAGATCAAGAGGATTATGTGATAATAAACAAGATTATCATACTAATCAAATGAGAAATTGAGATGGGGGAAGAAATCAAATAAGTTGAATAATTAATACTAAAATAAACAAGATAGAATACAGTTTACCTTTCTTTATTTTATTGGCCATCCTTTAAAGGCCAGTGACGATATCAGGCTCAACTGTTGGACATCGGAAAAGATGTTTGCGGAAAAGCTGCAATCCCATGTCCCACAATTTAGGCAGCTTTGGTGTTGGTTTCCCTTCTACTCTAAAAGGAGATAAGGCTAAACCCATAACACAATTGATCAACGACATCCGTTCGGAATGATCCTGCCAGCATGTGTCACGCAGGATAAGAGAGCTACAGAATCTGGGGTTTGGTACTGAACTAAAGATTCCAATTCTGCAGCTATGTGGCTGTCGCACTCATCATGAGTCCGTTGATAAAGACGACTTGATCCCATCTCAAGCCGAGAAACCTCACTAATAGACTGAATAATAAGAGAAAATATTACATGTTTTGTCATAACGCATCCAAGCAATCAAGAGAACGGAGAGCAGCTTCTTTCTTTAAGAATATCTTGGAAATGACCGACTTAACCTCTGTCCAAGTTTCCTCTTCAAAATTTTCGGGTAAGGAGGGGGGAAAGCTGTGTAGAGGCAAAAGCCTAAATGGACATGAAATGTGTCAGTGAGGTCTATAAACATGTATTGTAAATTGAAACTCTATCAGATTCAAATTTCTGACATGGGAAAAAGTTTTGTTGGTTGCCCAAAGTTATTAGACATGCAAGACCAAATGAACTAATAACTTATAATTAAGACATACGAAGAATAATATACATATATATATATATAAAGATAGATAATATCTAGCCAATCCAAATTCAAACTCCCTCACATCTGCATACATTAATTGACAGACAAATTTACAGACACTAATCATATATATATATATATATATATATCTGCATTACGTGAAGGTAGATATGTGAACATGAGAAGGAATTTTATAACCAATTAATCCATGCTACATGCATAATTTTAGAAGAGAAATTTAGACTTAAAAGATGGTTGAGAGAGAGAGAGAGAGGGTTTCATATCAACTACATTGTGAGATAGTAAAGAGTATTATACCATATGTCTATCTCACAATGTAGTTGATATGATGTAGAGAATATTATACCATATGTCTATCTCACAATGTAGTTGATATGATGTAGAGAATATTATACTATATGTCTTGTAAAGTTTTTTATAATGCAATCTAAAATTTGTGAAGGTCAAATGCGCTTTATATCATCAGAAGTTGGAGTTCCAAATTTAGTACAATAACCTTCAAAGCTATGGCATTTGTGCATCTGCATAATCCTACAACTGATCAAACTGATTATTAGTGAATGTGGATGTATAATCAGAAAGAGTTTTACAATCTATTATTAGTGGTTTCTTTGATTTGAGTTTTACCTTTATGCTATTTTTTGGTTAGTTCATATTCTGTGTTGTATATATGATCATATTTAAACAATGGCTTATGGACTCTAAAAAAATGTATCTATAAATTGAAGACTATTTTTTAAACAAAATTAGGAAAAACGAGTATCGCCGCGCGGCTATACTATTTATAAAAAATAAATTTTAAAAATCGGGTATCGCTGCTCGGCTATACTCTATATATACACTCAACCGGCGCCTAGGCACCAAACAGTAAAGCCAAGCGGCTGTGCTATTTTTATAAAAACTAGAAGAAAAAAAACCAAGTATAGCCGGACGGCTATACCTTTAAAAATACGAGTATAGCCGCACGGCGGTACTATTTTTTGAAAGAAAAATTTGTTAAAACCAAGTATAGCTGCCTAGCGATACTATTTATATATATATATATATATATTAATTTGCTAGTTTCAAAATCACCATCTTGCATTTTTGTTACAACAAGTAAGAAATAATCTTAGCCTCTCACATTCATTCATAGTCAGTAAAATATGAAACGGAAAAATTTTGGAACATTACAACTTAAAAGTTCAGGCACTATATTATATTTTAATATAAATTTTTAAAATTTTTTAATTTATATTATTTTATTCAATAATATGTGATAATTATGTGTTTATATACAGGAATTTTGTGTGTTTTATTGAACTTATTATAAAAAAAAATACGTGCATTAAACATGAAAAATACGTACGTACCTATATAATATGAATATGTACGTTTTCTTTTTAAAAAACGTGAACTTTACCGAGTCTTTAAGACGTTTGCAGAACACATATGTATTGTTGAAAAATACGTATGCACATGTATAATACATTATTTAACGTGAAAATATTAAAATATTTATACGGATAATGACTCTGGAAAAGTGAATCAAAATGGGAGAATAGAGACTTGAGTAATGGCCTACTAGTAATGGATAATGCTCTAAACAACTCTTATTGATAAAATAAAATTGGGGGAAAAAGGATCCCACTATATAAAGAGTATAGCCGCGCACCTCTTGGGCTCTGGAGAAATTTAATTATCTTCAACATATTTAATTATTCACTAAAGAAATAATAATTAAAGGGTAACATAATTACTAATTAAAGTAATTCAAAAAGGCTAAGATATTATTTAATCACATATATTAAATTAAAGTAGTTGGCCAAAAAATTAAAATAAAGAAACTAATTTTTGTTGTAAATCTATTGAATATGGATGACCACCATAATATCACTCATAATACTTACCATAAAACACATCAAAATATCGTTGTAACCTATGCACAAAGGATCGTACGTAGAACATTTATGAGTTGTAATAGGTACTGGTGAATGTTTGTCTATCCCCGAAGCCTATAAATAGTAGGTATCAAAGATGAATGATATACAAGTTCATAGAACAAATTCTCTGTGTTTCTCTTTCTCTTATTACTTTCTACAATTCCTCATAGTTTTATAACAATTTATATTTTTAATATAAAAACAAAAAAAATAAAAACCTCTCCCGACAAAATATTGTCAACACAGTATATGTCAGCAAAATTTTCCGAATTAGACCTCTCCTGACGAAAGTTACATGTGCCGACGAATTTTCATATAGAGAAGGGTCTAATATGGCAAATTTTGCCCGAATAGATATGTGTCGATGACATTTCGTCAGGAGAGATTTTTTTAATAAAAAATTAATATAAACTTAGTATGTTTAGGTTAATAAATTATTTTTAATTTTAGTTTTATTAATTAAATAATATCTTTTCCCTTATTTAATTAGTTAAATTAGTAATTATATTTTAATTATTATTTTTTTAGTGAATAATTAGTATTAAATATTTTAATTAACTTCATGAATTATATTACTTAATAAATAGTTTTTATATTTTTTATATTTTTTTCTTTAATAAAATATTTAAATACTAATTATTAACTAATTAAATAATTACTAAAACATAATTACTAATTAAAGTAATTGAAAAAAAATTCATATTATGCTACTTAAAGGGTATAGCCGAGCGGCTATACTTTGAAAATATTCTATTTTTGGGGTATAGCCGCACGGCTATAATAATGTTAAGATATTATATTTTTTAGAGTATAGCCGGACGGCTGTACGTTTAAAACTTTCTATTTTAGATTATAGCAGCGCGGCTATACCTTTAAAATATTCTATTTTGGGTATAGACGCGCGACTATACTATTAGAATTAATATAAAAAAGAGTTTTTCTATTTAAACCCAGCACTTTTCTTTATTCACCCCAAATCCTAATTCAAATTTTTAAAATTTTTAAGAAAACCCCACTATTTTCCCAAACTATCCCTAAATACACACCCATTAGAAAAAATAATAATTAAAAAACTCATCAACGTCACACCTCACACCCTACTATCTTGCCCCTCACCACTCTAAGTTTACCTCAATCTCACATTACTTAAAAGATATATAAACATTTTTCTCAAATGTGTAGTATCATTATTTTATTATTAATTCTTTTAAAATATTTTATTGTCTTGTTCAACAAAGCAAACCCATGTTGTAAGTTACATATTCTATATCAATCAAAGGCTTAGGCAATCATTGTTTCTTAACTTCGCAATCAAGGTCTGCTTTTTTCCCCCTCCAATTTTGTTTCTTTGTTTATGATTATAATAATAATTATTATTATTATTTATGATTTGTTTGTTTGATTATGATTTGCCGTATTTAGGGTTTGCGAAGAGAACATGATAGTGTAGTAGGTTTTTTGGATTGAAAGAGAAGAGTAATCTGGCAATAGGATGTAGAGGAGTTTGTGTTTTTTCTAAAACTTAATGTGAAGAATAACGATGTGTATGAGGTGTGTGTATAGATGTACTAGGATCAAGTATTAAGTTGGATGACCTTTTTTTTATCTTTTTACACAATAATAAAACTTAAGAGCTTAATAATTTAAGTATTGGAGTGAACAAAGAAAAGTGTGGAGTTTAAATAGAATAACTCTATAAAAAATTGTACTGCAATTAACTTACAAGTTATGATAAATTATGAAATACTATGTTAGTATGGTCACGTGGTACATTTTGTACACGTATTATAATATGGGTGAACGACATGATTTATTTCCCCAAAATTTAGAAAATAGTATCAATAAATATTTACTTATTTTATAATAGCATTGAGGCATTTGAGGATGAGTTCTACTTAGAATTTTCCTCTTCCAAAAATAGCCTCGCTAATTTTGAACCTAATTTCATCTTCATAATAGAATCTATTTGATCTGCTTGGCTCGGTTGTAATTTTGTTTCTTTATAGGGACGTTTCGGGAATTGTATGGGTCTGACAAACCCACCTCTCATGGGCCAATCCCAAAACAGGCCTTGCAACTGGACCGATCTTCTTCAATTCTAGGGTTTAAATCCAAAATGCCCTAAAACCCTGCTTCCTATTCCAAATTCCCAAATTCTCAGAGAGCAAGCTAAAATGGCGTGGCGATCTGGGTCATCGCTATCAAGGTCTCTAATCTCAACAGCAAGAGCTTCAACAATCCGGTCATCTCCATCAATCTCGTCCCTTCCTCGCTCTCCGCTTCATAATCTCCGGACCAGCTCGCGCCGTTCCCTCTTCTCCCTCCCAGTGAATGTGAGCCAATTAGCCTGCGCGCAATCGCTGATGCCATTGCACAGCGCACTAGCCTCGGCCCGGCTCACAAGCCACATTTCCGTCGAAGCGCGCCATTGTTGCGAGCTGTCTCAGGGTACCTCCATTGATCCCTCGTAGTTTTTCTCTTTCTGCGGTGCGTCTTGTACGGGGAATTTTCAATTTCATCTTTTTTTTGTCATTTTTGTGTTAGATTTATTGAACTGCAAGTGTAATGAGAAGGAATTTCAATAGAAAAGAGAAAAAGATGGAAACTTTGAATATTTATGTATGTGCAATGCACTGTTTGCTCAGCTGTCTGCTAGTGTGGTTTCTAATACTTAGCACTATAAGCTTGTTTGATAGGGAGGACTAGACATGCCCTCATGATGTGCATTCAATGCGTAATATGGATATTGTTGTCTAACTTGTAGGAGGATAGGGGACTATCTATAAGAGGTTGATGAGTAAGTTTTAGTCATCAACCTCTTATGGTTAGTCCTCCTTAATCCTTCAAGTTAGCCAACAATATCCATGTTATGCCTTGAATGCACTTGAAATGTAAGCATTTTTCTAGTCTAGTCTAGTCCTCTCTAACAAACGAGGAGCCTATACGTTATGTCAGGCATATTGTTATTTTGGAACCCAATAACCATTTGATTGATCAGGGAGTTTCTATATTTTGAAATTAAAGTTCTCTCAGTTGGATTTAGCATTTGCATCTGCATGTCCTTATGGAATGTGGTGGTGGTTAACGAAAATATTCTCTTATGTGTAACTCTTCCTCCAGTTAACAGAACTGGGACTGCTCTCTTTTCAACTGTCCCAAATGAATGCTTCTTGGGTTATTGTCTATTTAGTTTAGTAGTGTCTGCTTAGTTCTACATATCGACTTATTGGTCTTCTGGGTGTGTTGTAGGTACTTGAACATGCTTCTGTTGGATCAACACAGCAGCAGTTGTTGCTACATTAGGTGGGGTTCCGAGGGTGAAAGAATTTCCATACTCCTTATCTTTGATAAGGTGGGTGTAGGAAGTAATTTCAGATTGTAGGGGATAAGTTTACTTCACAACTACTGTGTTCTTTCTCTTGTAAGCCATTTTACTTGTGTAGGCTTTTATGTTCAGAATTACAAGATCATACAACTATTATAAATCTGTCTGATCATGTTGTTTTACTGTTATTTGTTGCTATCTGACTCTGGATCCAAATCGAAATTTAATGCATGACATAAAGGGGTTCAATTTGTGTTCCCTCTAGGCTGCATCTGTTTTGCCTTATTCTTATTACTTTCACCGGCTTAGTGAATGAGAGAGTAAACCATCCCTAGAAGGGCGTAATGATTGCTCAAGTTATTTTTGGTACATCTTCTTAACCAAATGTCGAACCCTATTTACCAATCTGGTTTGAAATTTGCTCAGAAATTTCTCACTTCTCAATGTTTTCTTTTCTTCTTTACGGAGCTGAAGGTTTCTCGGTCTCTTGGGATTATGAACTAGTGTAGTCAAGATTGCATGTTAAGTATGTGGTCTTGTATATAGAAGAAGATCAATCTGGTTGCTCTATGTATGCAAGTAGGGAAAAGACCAAGTATGTGACATAGAGGGGATGATATGGGTACAAGTATATGCGTTAAGGAACAAAATCAGTGATTTATGCTACTGTCCTTCACATGTAGTGTTTGAAACGCACCAGGCACTCTGCCCCTCCAACACTGAAACCACTACGTGACCTCTCTTGTTTCACATGTTGCAACCGACATGAGTTTGCAATTTCGACGAATTGGAGGGCCAACTTTTGCTTAATATGAATTCAATCTAAGCTTTGAAGTATCCTTTTTAGCTGTCCCTCCAAGTTTCCAATACAGTATATACAGAATGAAAATCCTATAATCTCCAAATCACTTACCATTCCTAACACTCAGATTATAAATATTCCAACTTCGTCTTCCACATTTGTGTATTCCGTCAAGATTTGAGTCTTACATTTTACAACTTATGTTTTCTGAAATAGAACATGACCAATATAACTTGAGATCGTGACAGATTGTTCAAGGTCCAACATAATGAAGACAGGAATCGTCAAGACATTAAGTATTAGGTTAGGTCTTGGGTTCAATCGCAGACAATGCGTACTGCTTGGAAGAAAAAAGTACGAGAAGGGACATCATGTTTCTATCCTAGATAGGAATTAGAACCACAAGAACAAAGATTCATAGAGCATGTGGTCTTTTTCTTGGAGCAAAAAAGGGTCTTGATATTCTCATATCATAGAAATCAAGTTATTCAACCAAATAATAGAGATTTCCCAATAAATTATCAGAGCAAGCCAAATAGAATATTAGTACAGAGAATCTTGGGTTTAGTTTAAGAAGTCATATGTTGAGAATTACTACTTTGAAAGAGCCCGTCTTCTCACCAGGTTGGAGTTAACTTCAGCATCTCTTCTGTTTGCGTCTCTGAATAAGCTGAGTGGCATATTTTGCTCCTTTCTCTGTCGAATCAGCACTTGCTTGCTCAGCATCCATAAATCCATGTATAATTGATCTTGTTTGGATCTTTATCAACAACTGCTTTACTTGATGCCGGGATAAGATGGTGCCTCTTTGCATAATTTGCATCATAATGCTCAATATGATACGATATTAGCCCTTGTCACAGAGAAAGATCAGTAACACTCTCCCTAAATATGCTTTGCATATTCCTTCTGTGATTCTTGGGGAAGAGATCAAGATGGAGAGATATTTTGTAAGGAGGCCTTAGTTGTATATGTGGATGTGGTGAGTTCAAAAGAAAGATTTGAAACGAAAATACCCCAATTCTGTTATTTTGACCGTTTAGTCTAGTTGCATTCAGTCTATACTTTGTTGGAGAAGATCGTGAGTTCAAATCTCACAATTGTTGAATAGAGAAGGAAAAAAAACCTAATAAGCATTTCGTATTAACTAAAAAAAATTATTAGTCTTTGGCTTGGTGATTAAAAGGGACAAGCCAAGGCAGGAGCTAAGTAGTAGTATGGACAAAACAAATCCAGTTTCCAAGCACACACACCTGACTCATCAATCCAATTCCACCACACACAAAAAATATTTTGTCTCAATGAAGCTTTAGAATCACACCCTTGAGAAAACTGAGGCTTCTGTTTTCTTCTTATATTGTATTAAATGAAACTTCTTTTTATCAGAGCAGCAAGATTCTGATGTCTGAGAATAAAGCATATGTGGTTCTGGTTGCTCTTCTCCTATTGTACATACACATAGCCCACTACATCAAAAACAACCCACAATGATCCTCTTGTTTGAAAGAAACCCAATTGGGAAATAGACATCCCACCAATCTCACTTACTTTTTATCACCATTATTATTAAATGTCAGTTTGCTGGGTCCTCCAAACTCTTTATAAAGTAAGTTAGCATGGCATCATAATGCAGAAATTATTAATAATAGCATCTTCAACGACTCCACTGTCCTCATTGGTGCATATCATGTATGAACTCATTGTGGGGGTTAGCCTATGTCTGTCTGTGTGTTCTCTTATGGTAACTATTACTGTATTGGCTCTTTCTACTTCTTTGTGATCATAGAAGGGAGAAGAACTTCCAAACAGCGGAATGTCATTGTGTTTGTATTTCAAGCCACTGTGGTCGGATAACACTCATGCATGTGTCAAATTATAATTTGTCCGGAAGAAGGAGTGGCCTTTTTTTTGTACAAAGAATCATTTGCCTATAGCTAACAACATAACACCCTGAAATTGGCCCACCTGTTCTCCCTCCTCTGTGGACAGAGGCCACATGTTAATCAATATTGGCCCTGTAACACTTATAACTTTCTTGCAGTGGACAGAACAATCAATAATCTCTTTCTGTGTGTAAGCTCTGAGTGTTACTGACCAAAAAAAAAAAATTGCTCCGAGTGTTAATATTAATATACATCTAACCTCTGGCAAGACCAGCATATAAGTATATATATATTGGAGCTTTTAAATCTGCAGTATAGGGTAAAAAAAGACATATGGTTCTTGTGTGGGTTGAGAGTTGGGGACCATACATTATACATATATCAATCTAACTAAGGAAGGTTCATTTACTAGGGCACTTTTTGGACTTGTAGATAAGAATTTCAACTTGTCCATGTTCTCTTTCTAAGCAACGTTTATAAGGAGATGTGCTTTGGAAATGAGAAAGTTTAACTATGTTTTTAATGGCATTTTCTCTAGAAAAACTTGTATGAAATGAGAATAACACTATTTTACTATCTCCGACCAATCATGTCTTGTAGAAAAGTTATCACATGACATACCGTGATTCGCCGTTTCATGTAAGTGCTTCTCACCACTTTCTCAGCAGCTGCATTTTTTTCACTAATTACTAGTGTTATGTGATTAATTCATCCATATGGAATCATTGCCTACTTGATTGAAGAGGTGTGAAAGGAAAGATGAGCAAGGAACTAAGGAATCCTAAGCTTGAATGGCCACTACTGTTAGATGACATAAGCACTGGTCCCCTTAAAAGTTTCAAGCATCACAAGGTGGGAGCACCAGATAAATTGAGATAAAATATTTTAATAAGGACTGCCACTTTCCTCCCCCATTATCATTTCATATATGCCTTCTCTTCTTGGACTGTTGAAACATTAGCTTCCTTCTTTTATCCCCATCCCTTATTTAAGTACAACCTCCTCCATTTCTTCAACCCCCCCTCTCTCCCTCTCTCAAACTCTCCATTATTTCTACCTTTTCCCAAATTGAGTGTGTGTGTTTATTTTTGTTGCAATGATTTCCAAAAGGGAACAAGAAGAAGCAAATGAGATGGTGGAAAACAACCAAGATAGTGATAATGAGGAAGATGATAAGTTGGGAGATTGGTTGAGTTTAAGCCTCAACTCAAATGAGCCATCTGCAGCTGGGGACTGTGATCCTCTGTCACCAAAACCATCAACTAGCAGCAACAAGGTTTTCTCATGCAACTTTTGCCTGAGGAAATTCTATAGCTCACAGGCCTTGGGAGGTCATCAAAATGCACACAAAAGAGAAAGAGGAGCTGCCAAAAGGTACCAGTCTCACAGAATGATGATGTCATCAATGGGGTTTCCATTCAACCCTGTGGCTGCAGCAAGGTCACTAGGTGTCCAGCCTCACTCACTTGTGCAGAAGCCAAGCAGATCAGATGGGTCTTCAATGGTGGCAAGATTTAGTGACCCCAGCACAGGTTTTGGGATGGCATGGACACCGTTCATGCTTGAAGAAACCATGGATTTGATTTGGCCAGGAAGTTTTCGTGTGGACAAATTTCCAACACAAGAATCAGATGTACATAATAAGCAGCTGGACTTAAATCTTCGGCTGTGATTCTAAAATCTGATCCAGTGTTTGTATTTCAATCTAAATTCTTCTTGTTTTTTTCCTTTTTTTCTTTTTAAATCTCATCTAAATAATACAAACAATAACACTTTGGTGCATGAACTTTAATCATTAACTTTAGTTGATGGGACTTGCTGTCGTTCATACTTTATACTATGGTGTGCGTAGTGCTATAACGCCAAACTTTCAACTGTACTTTGAAAAATAATTCAGTTTCTGCTTTTTGTGAAAAGAAAGGTTGCCAATTTGTGCAATTTAGCTCTGTAGGTACAAATTATATTTGAAGTGGCAACAGAAATTTGAGTTGTCCTTTTCACCAATGTAATCTCAGGACCATAATAATTGGTTTTTTCAGGTATCCTTACGACTGATAAATATCTAAAAGTGCTTTTTGATAATCGGAGTCGCTTCTGAAAGCATTTGAAAGAAAAATGCTTCCAGACCATAACCACGCTTTATTAAAAAGCACCTTGTATGAGTTCTGGCTTCTTGAGGAAGCACTTTCAAATACTTTTTCAAGAAGTCCTTGAATTTTTAATAAAAGTTTCAACATAGAAACGCCTTTAACAAAAACAAAATGGTAAATAAACAAGCCAAACGGCCCGTCGAACATTCCTAGGCCTCACAAAATTGTGAAGCAGAACAACCATAATCATGCCTGGGTCTGTCTGTGGCCTATCGTCTCAAAGCCCAGTCAAAAATTCCTAAGCCTCAACAAAATTTTGAATTGTCCACTCTGAGGATTTACTGAATTGGGCCTTCATTGGGTTTGTCAGGTCAGCTGGCAGCCAGCCATTATTTTGTTCTTGAAGAAACCTACGACAAACTGTCCAAGCTACATTTTGAACCCAACATGAATGGAGTACCCCCTCCGCTAGACTTTCGTACTCAACGAACCACTTCAATGGTAATAGCTTGATAGTAGCATTTTCCTCCGTTTCAAACAACTTTCACTCGTCTATCAAAATCCATAATATATCCTGTAAGTCGTCAGTCACTTCGGTGCAACTTGAACTAATTAAGCGGTGAAATTATGCTCTGGTACAAATTGATACAAGTCCGTGAATAGAAGTTGCCCCTACAAAACCAACTTTGAAAGAACGAATTAGTGTTCTAACTTGGTGAACATGAACACGAACATACTTTGATGTGCCATGATTTGACCTCCAAATAAGTTAGAATATTGTTATTGCTTATTTTATTCCTCACAGTAAAACTCCATTAAAAAATGCTTCACTAAACAATGTCTCGGATTCCCACCAAATAGATGTATTGTACGAAACTTTTTGTTGCCAATAATTAAAAGTCAGCAAATAATTAGATGGCATGCACAATCACAAGCAAAATGGAATCCATTAGCCTATGCTACGAGGATGATATGATTTTCTATACTCTCCAGCAGGCCCAGCAGCCATGTGAGCTTAGACAATGCTCCTCATTTGTATGAGGACCATCTTCCAAGAATGATATGCAATGGCCCAGCTGGATTTATCAAATATAATCTCCTACAAAAGCCATGTCACACAAAAATTTGAGAACTCATGAGTGCCCCAAGACCTTGACCAAGATCGGTGTTCGGTGCCAAATGCCATTAAAATAATATGACCATTCAGCCTATAACCATGGATATGTAGCTTAGCCAACATCTTTGCCCACCAACCCTCTCCTTGTTTAATTCTAACCACATAGCTAGGTTGGGATTTGGGGACAATTAATCATGTGGCCTTGGCTAATGGCTAGGAAAAAAAAACCCAATTAGGCCACTAAGACTTTGGTTAATATTGTATTAATTAGTCTTCTGGGACATAGTTTGCGTTTCATGTTGGTCGTCTGCAAGACATGGCTCAATATTTTTACACATTTTCGAAAGAATTTTGATATATAGACTAGTTATCTGTCAAAGTCTACAAATGGGTCCAACTAGGATTGGATTAATCTTTAATTTTTTACTGGCCGGAGTCTATCCACAACCCTAGCTAGTAACCCTACCAAACTTTTTTTTTTTTTTTTTTGGTTGGGAAAATTTGATAGCAACCCAGGATGCAGATTGGCCCCAAAGAGAATCAAAACAAAGATGATTGGCAACTAGTAATGAGATATTTAAGGTCCAAGTTCGAGTAATCTCTATAGATCATGACCCAAGTTTGAAGAGCATGCGTTAAGGAATTAGTATTTCTCTAAAAATAAATATTGTGACCCCACATGTTCTAGGCGTGATATGAAGAATCTAGAAATGAAGAAATAAGGGATATTCTAATGATGTGCCTGTGATGATGTTTGAATATGACTTTAGAATTCCCTTCAATTTTAATTTTGTTTTCAGCCCTAATGAACAACATGTTGTCTCTTTCAAAAACCGTATATGCATTCGCCAATTGAAGTTGTTGAGTGGCAAAAGATGTAGTCAAAGTATACCTGCAAAAACAAGATGATCACTACCCATAAGTGAAATAAGTTTTCATGAAATTGAAAGGCTTAGCTTCAGTGATCCTGTAGTCTTTACTAAAATTTCATTCAAGTACAAATAGGATATGAATTCGAGGCAGAGGAGCAAATCTTTCTATTCATCAACATTTTGTGCCACTCTATATATATAGAAAATCTGTCAAGTTTGAGGCACAGTAGAGAAAATCTTTATATATATATATATAGATAATATAATGTTCATGAATATATATATAGATAATTTCATTAATATTGGTGGTGTCATTCATTATATATTGTATTTCAAATTTAGTCAAGTTTTCGATGTGAACTTATATTCTTCAATATATATATATATATATATAATATTTAGCAATCATATATCGTTGGTCACATCTCTCACAGACGTAAAATTTTCGTGGAAATTACGTGGTCTATAATGTAATAATTTTGTTTTCAAATGAAAATGTGGCTTACGCATACATATCTACGGCACATCATATCCCACTATAACAATACAATACCACAAAACAATATAAAAATAGAGCATATATAAGAACTGATCAAGATGGGTTGTGATGGATAGTGTTATAACCCATTCTGGTCTGACTGGATTTTGCAGATAAATTTTAAAATTAAGATTTCTACTGATGGTAGAGAAGAGATAAAATAGATGATGGGTAAGCAAACACCAAAAAAATGGATAAAAAGGGGAAGAAGTGTAGATCGTGAACAATATGTCAGAGACATATATGGGGATGATTGATGTCTCTCCAAAACAAGAACTGCATGCATATAACTGGTGATGTTTGATGTTTGTTGTTTACATTCATTGCAAAACTCGCTGTACAATCCATCCAAAGCAACAACAGCTTTTCTGTTTGCTGAAACAAGTATTTCATGGACATCATCAAAAGTTTTACGACTTTCCCTACCAGCTATATTGACCCAAAAAAGAAAATGCAGAGAACCAAGGCAAACGTGCATCTCTCATTTTTCTTCTTTTCCTTCGCCTATAAGCTGCATATTATTTGGACCATAGATATGATCGCACCCATGAAACATGACACATATTTTCAGCCTGTTTTAAAATTATTTGTTGATTATTCTGGTATGGTAAGATATTGGTCTCCTCTGAGCACTAACCTCTTCTTCTTCTTCTTTTTTATTCTTCGGATTTGATTACTTGTTGGAATTTTATAACGTTAACCATCTTGACCACGTTTTATGTTTCTTTGGAGGTGATGAAAGGAGAAAAGTCAATTATTTGGAAAATTAGGGGGGGGGGACCGTTTCTTGTGTTGTAACATTGCGGGACAAGAGTTAGGCCAAGTGGATTTTTACTCCAATTTTTAAGCATGAGTAAAACCTAATTCATTGAATATTTTTTGAGAGAATAAGTTAGGGTTGGGATGAGGACGAGTCAAACATGCTTTGGCATGCCTTCTTATTATGTCCAAGACCAAGTCCTTGCATTGGGTAGTTGTTGATCGGTCAATGTCCATAAAATCTGTTTCCATAAATATCTTCTTCTTTTTTTAAAACTTTCCTGTTGTGCTTGGCGATAATACACTTCACACACACAACACAAATATTATGACTCGAATCCAAAACCTTACATAAGGGAGAAATTAATCCAAACCACTACACTAGTGAGTTCTTTACATAAATGTCTAATATTTATTTAACCCTTTCTCTCTCTTTTTTAGATTGATCCATTTTAAATATCCTCTAAATATTATAATGGATAATATTATCTAAATTATGTGAAATTAAATTATTATCTGTCACAATAATAAACTTCCTATTAAGTTTAAACCAAAGTTCCCAAAAGAATAACAACATAACTACTCTCTTAAAGAAAATAATTCCAAGAATACAACAGCCACAAAGTATACACATTTGATTATCTGAAATTAAAAATAATTGAAAATGTGCAAGAAGAAATAACTCATGTATATTCTAACCAATATATTTTATTTTTACAATGTAACACTTGGTTCATCACAATCCACTATAGGATATTTAAACCACCACATGCTCTTCAGCCCAATCCTATTAAACCGGCTTCAAAGGGCGAGATCTCTAAGAAATCATATTAATCTAAAATTTCTTACCTTATTTTTTTAGTATAATTGATAGTCTAAATTATAGGGGAGGGAGATTTTTTACACCTATACACAACCATGATACCTTGGGGATTCGAACATGAAATTTTTGGTCTGCAAGTCAATGCATTTTTCCATTAGATTATACCCTATTTGCAAACTTTCATACTTTCAAATGTGAAACATGGGAATATCATAGCATAATGTTTGTGCAACAAAAGAAAATGGAGAGAAATTTCCAACGGTAGACATTAATGTTGAAATAAAATTATAATAAAAGGACTCATTTTTTTTTTTTTTTTTAAATATTTTTTTTTTTTTTTTTTTTTTTTTTTTTTTATATTATTTTTCCCTACCTACGTGACCATAAGCGGAAAAAGTGGGGCTTCTCTTTTCATATGTAAGCATTTAACAGACTCATTAAAGGTTTGATTAATAAATGTGCTGATGTATGTT